AAAATCAAAGACTCTTTAGGTCAATTTGCTTCTCACACTAAACCCTCTGTCAGGAATCTTGGTGTGACCTTTGTAGCCTGGCCTGCCAGACTCGTCCTCTGTTTAATTCGGCACAGAGAATGAGTCTGGTAACTCACAGGCAGAGAGGCACTTGAGGGGCGGGACTAGGCAGCTCAAAAATGACCAGTCAGAAAAAAGACGGAAATCCCAACTGTACTGCACAACGGTGTAGTTTTCTAGTTGTATTAAGAAAATAGCGTCTAGTCTAGTCTAACATCTTTTATTTTTTAGAAGAAATGCTTTTAGCGCTTCTACTTGTGTTTTAAAGACATTTGAGTCATTTAGAACAGAGGAAAGAGTTGCAGCAAACTCCGCCGCTGTCTTCGTTGTTTATGCGAAACTGAGCGTCGCTGTGAGAGATGTCCGCTGTAGTTTTTTTAGATGTAGTAAAAATGGGGACTGATGACAGCGCAAACATCTTTGTTTAGAAGAAAGGCTTTTAGCGCTTCTACTTTTTGTGGTTTTAAAGACATGTTACGTCCCCGACAGGTGTTGTAAAAATGTGAAGGATGGGGGTAATGTAAGAACTGGCGGAGGAGTTTAAAATGGGTTTATTTGTAACAAAAAGGTATTAAAACACAAGCAAACAGATCTCTCTAAAAAGGTTAACATTACACAGCCAAATTATCAACTATAAAACACCTGGTTAAAACTTATATTAAAAGTTTAACCAAGCAGAAGGTGTTTTAAAATCCAAAAGTTGATAAAAAGTCCCAAACAATTTACTGATTAAAACACCTGGTAAAAGCTTATTTTAAAAGCTTTACCACACAAAGGTGTTTAAAAACCAAAGTCAGTAAAATTGCACCAAATACAGTTAATCTTTAAAAACTTATCACCAAGAGTTAAAAACTACCACAATTTAAAACTCCAACGAATCCAAAGGAATGCAACCAAAAAGGGGTTAAAACCAAACAAAACCCAGGAGGACAGCAGAACCCCTGCACTGCTAACTCCCAGACTGCTGAAGGCACAGCCTGCAGGTGTTTGCTCATCAGGAAGATTTAGCTCAGCTGTGCTCCTCAGCAGCCCGGGAGAGAGGAGGAGGAGGGGCGGTGTCAGGCTCATTCACTAGAGCTGGATGATCCTGGCTCCTGCCAGTGGCGTGTCCAGATCTTTTAGAATGGGGTGGCCCAGATGAGGCACTACTTTGTGCATGGGTGACACCAATGGTTATGCTTTTTTTTTTTTACCCCAAGCCTTTTGTGGACAATGAAAATACTATTTAAATGGAATTCAGTGTGGTGACACATGGGGTGGCCATTCAGATTCCAAGGGTGGCATGTGCCACCCCAGGCCACTCCCTGGACACGCCCCTGGCTCCTGCTCTTCACTGGCCAGACTGGCAACCGTAACACATGTTCAAATCATTTAGAACAAAGAAGATAGCAGCAGCGAACTCCTCTTCAGTCACCATGCATATGACAAGCTCGGCGTTGTGGTGTGTGATGTACGATACTCAGCGCTGATTGGCTCAGCTAGAATTCTCATGGGATGGGGTTATTTGAATAGGAGAGTTCCCAGACTCTTTCTCTGTGCAGAATTAAACAGTGGAGGAGTCTGGCAGGCCAGGCTATGACCTTTGACCCAGCTCTCACCCTGGATTCTCATGTCAGTTTTCTTGTTCGCTCTTCCTTCTTACATCTCAGAATGATTGCTAAACTGAATCCAACTCTTGTATTTCTTGGTTACTTTTAACCCTCTCAGACTCAAAATAAGTTTTGATAAAAGGACAAAAAACTAAGTCCTCAGGGGTACTTCTGAGTTAAAAAAAGACTCAACGTCTTTTGTGCATTTAGCACTAGGTTGTTGTGGCTGCACCAGGACACCACCCATTCAACCTCCATTCTGTAGGCAGACTCATCTCCATCAGAGCTGAGTCCGATGACAGTGGTGTCATCTGCAAACTTGATAAGCTTGACAGACTCGTGGTTGGAGGTGCAGCCATTGGTGTACAGCGAGAAGAGCACAGGGGAGTGAGCCAGTGTTGTTTTCGTTAACGAAAACGATGACGAATTGATTTTGTTGACAACCCTTTTTTTCATAACGGAAAGAAGACGCTGACGAGCTAAAAATAGCTCTTTGATGACTAAAACATGACAAGACAAACGGGAGTTTTTGTTAAAGAGCCGAGACTAGACAAAAACTATGCGCAAAAATGCTAATTTCTGTCTGTCTCACAAAAGTTAAATGTAACAGTGCTGCTGCTGCTGCTGTCTGTTTGTCCTCTGTTCACAGACCAGCCCCAGCAGCTGAGTGAACCTGGCTCCCCACCCACATCAGAAAGCACTAACCACTCTCATTATGTAGCTTTCATATGGGTTGGAAGCCAACTTCACTCAGCTCGGCTCTTCCCTGCTACGAGAACGCACAGCGCTCAGCGGCTCATTGACGCTACTACGAGCGACGACGTTGCTACTTTTAAATATATCCATAATATTAGCACATTTCTTATCCGTGTGCTTCCTGAAATAGACATGCTTTTGGACAGACAAATGAAAGAAATTACGGTTTTTAACTAGCCTGGCCTTCCAGACTCGTCCTCTGTTTAATTCTGTAACTTAGAGACAAAGAGGCACATGAGGGGCGGGACTAGGCAGCTCAAAAATGACCAATCAGAAAAAAGTCAGAAATGTTGACTGTACCGCACGACGAAGTAGTTTTTTAGCTGTATAAAAAAAGGCGTTTGGCAATGGTGCAGACTCCTTTTTTTTAAGAAGAAAGGTTTTTAGCGCTTCTACTTGTGGATTTAAAGACATTCAAGTAGTTTAGAACAGAGGAAACCGCCACAGCAAACTCTGTCGCTGTCTTCGTTGTTTATGAGAAACTGAGCATCGCTGTATGTGACGTCCACGATGCTGTAGTTTTTTAGCTGTAGTCAAAAATGGCGACTGGCGACAGCGCAAACATATTTCTTTAGAAGAAAGACTTTTAGCTCTCCTACTTGTTAAGACGTGTCCAAGTCATTTAGAACAGAGGAGAGAGCCGTAGCAAACTCCACTTCAGTCGCCATGTTCGACAAACTTCTTGTTATGGTGTGTGAAGTACACTACTCAGCGCTGATTGGCTCGGTTAGAATTCTCAGGGGGTGGGGTTATTTGAATAGGAGAGTTCCCAGACCCTCTTCTCTGTGCAGAATTAAACAGAGGAGTCTGGCAGGCCAGGCTAGTTTTTAACAGGTTTGATCTGAACAGGTTTAAGGGTTTTAAGTCAGTGTCAGGGTTATTGTCTCTGCTTCCTGGTTCCTAATAACAGGTCACATTTCTGCTTTTGAACCCAACAACATAACAGTTTAAGCCCATTTAAAATGTTTATGAGCTTCTCTGCTGATGCTCAAGAGCAGAACTGGGTGATTCATATTAATTCTGTGAAAACTCACAACATTGCAGTCTATGAAAAAAACATTACTGCATTTAAGTAGGTGGACTTTTCTACAATATACATTCAAGATGGTGGTCTGATAACTCAAATAATAAGTTAAACAAACACATTTCTTTATTTCTATTGAAATGTTGTGAAGAATAGACTGTATGCTCCCTAGGAGTCCATTCTGTTAAGGAAAGAAAATCATACATTTGTTAGTTGAAATCTACAGAATGATGCACAGATCTGCATCAACAAATTCTATACATTATTGTCATTATCAATAAAGAAAAAAATACCAGTCTGAGGATTATTGTTTTATAAAATCTGGGGCAGCTGAGATTTTGTCCCATAGTCATAAAGTAAATGATGTTAGTATGAAACTCACTCCAGTAGTTCAGAGTACATGTCTGACCTATAAATGCATTTGTTAGAAAATAATACTTTGTTTAACGTTTTGTAAAATGAAAAACAAAAATCTTTGTCAACTAAAACATTTTTGAGATTTAGTCGACTAAGACTAAGACTAAAATACATTTTCGTCATCAAGACTATGACTACGACTAAAACTATGATGCCTACCATAAACAACAGTGGAGAGAACACAACCCTGAGTCCCACAGTACCACAAGTACCTGAGCAATTTCCTAATGTTGTAAACCTGCTCACACATGTGGCAATAAAACCCTTGCGATTCTGTTTCTGACAACATGAATTTTACTAGTTCCTCCCCTGAAACCCAGAGATCATTTGCATTGACGACTAGAATAAAACAAATATGGGAGGGGGAATAATGCTACTTACAAAAGAACAGTAGGTTCATTCAAAATAACTTCCTGGATAAACACATCCCCATAGAAAAATGAGACTGTCGTTTTTCAATGTTCTCTTCTTTTAAGAATTTGTATAAATTTGCTTTCAATTTGACTAGATTTCGGCTTTCATCGTTCCCAAATGTCAAAATGGAATTTTAATGTCAATAAATAATCTTTAAAAAGTATTTTAAAAAGTTGTCAAATTATTTGTGTAAAAGTACTTTAAACACTAGCTTTTAAAAATAAATTAATAAAGTTTGCTGGATTTAAAAAATATGGTCTAAAAATTAAATAATGTATTGATGCAGTCCAATTCATCTTTCTGAGAACAGTAGCCCAAACGCTTTGTTTTGTTTTTAAATACGTTTATTCAAAGCTTCAAAGCTAAAGCTGTACTGTAATACAAAGTTGGATTTAAGCAGCAATACCACACATTGAATGCCTCAATGTGTGGTATTGCTAAATTCCTTGTAAATGTAATTTTACTTGGCCAATAAATCTGAAATCAGATATGGAGGGCTCTCATTGTAATCTACCTAATTTTATTCTTGTAAAAGAAATTCTTTGAGACAGAGTTTAAAAACTAGATGTGTGTCCCTTTTCTGTGGTAATGTGTTCAGAAAGGGACACACACACATACACACACGTTTGCAATCACAATAACAAATTTATGTCTTTGGATAATAATTTAATTTGTCGATTGTCACCACTAGAAGGAGAGACAGACTCACTGAAAGATGAAATAAATCATTTTTATGGGTTTTATTGGGTTTTCACATGACTAGCCAGTTAATCATTAGGCATGTACAATTAGATTGAAACCCTTTAAAAGGTGGAGAACAGAAATAAAAGAGAATGAGGATCTGCAGGAATGTGCAGAAAAACAGTTTTGTATCCTTTAAACAAAAATCTTCCCTCTACCAAAATTGTTTTTGATCACAAAGACAATTTAAACATTAATTTTATTCACTGCATCATGATGAAATAACGAAACTGTTTCCAAAAAATGCCAAACATCAACATAAAATAACATGTCAAATATCTTAGTGTTTGTGAGGTCTGGTGGATTTAAACTATCTACTCAGGTATCAGCAGCTCAGGAGGTTGAGCGAGTTGTCCAATAATCACCTGGTCCCGACAGAGAATTTTGCTGTTGTGTCCTTGGGCAAGACACTTAAACCCCTTTGCCTGCTGCTGGTGGTCGGAGGAACTGGTGGTGCCCGTGCTCGGAAGCCTCATCTCTGTCAGTGTGCCTCGGGGCAGCTGTTTCTACATTGTAGCTCATCATCCCCAGTGTGTGAATGTGTGTATGAATGGAGTAATGACACTGTAGTGTAAAGCACTTTGGAGTCCTTTGACTTTGAAAGGTGCTGCAAGTGTGGGTCATTTATCATTAAAATAAGACAAAACAATGAGATAAATCACTTCAAAATATAAATGATAATATAATAATAATAATAATAATAATAACATGCATATATGGTGGTATCATGGTAGGTTACGCAAGGAAAGAAATTATTAGAAATAAAAAGATGTACAATCTAAAACATCAACATTCATTACAAATTATTCTCTTAAAAAAAAAAGATGATCAACCAGAGCTGCAAACCTTCACACGGGACCTGCACAGAAAACAAATAAATAAGTTTATTCTCTGGTTTAAGGAATTCTTAATATAAATGTTTAAAAAAAAACCTCATGAAACCAAACTATAATACAAACGTTGACAAATGTAGGGTAGTTCGTCATGACAGTTGGCATCCAACAGTTGGATTAGTCCTGACCCCTGACCCCAGATGATCTTCCCACAGTGGTTGTTCCAGCGATCAACGGGAAAGCTGTTGTTCCACTTTAGGTTGACAGATCTGGACCCTGATGCCCACATCCAGTCAGGATCTGTTCCAAAGATGGACCGCTCCAGACCAACCCAGACGCCATTCTCCAAACTCGACTTATCTTGCAGAAGGCTCCTCACCTTATCCTGCACGGTCTGGTTGGTGAGCTCAACCAGTGAGGAGGTCAACATGTGGCATGCCTTCAAGGCTTCAATCCAGCTTTTGGGTTCACCTTTGAACATCAGAGATGTACCTTTAAAAATACACACACACACACACACACACACACACACACACACACACACACACACACACACACACACATAAATAATTCACTGAGCCAGCCACAGGACAACTTTGAATCAGAGTACTTACCTATTTGTGTCAGCCCGCATTCGTTTCCATATCTTATATTAATCACATCAGGTATTGAGCTTACTGGGATCATCACACTATGAGAGATCAAGAGATTTTATTTTTAAGTTAAAAAGCACACTGCTTTGTAATATCAGTAAATCAATGAATAAGTGAACAGAAAACATTTACCTGGAAGAAAAACCTTTACAAACCGAGGATGGATTGTTTATGTTGCAAGAGCTACACAGATGTTTTACTTGGAAAAAAATATAATTCACAGAAAGTTGAGTTATGAGAGTTTTCATGACAATGTTGTTGGGTCTATTTTAATTTTTAGGACACTCAGGAGGCCTAACATACCCCATGGTGTTCCAAACAAACTGGTTATGCTCATCCAGAGGTCTCTGGTACTGGGTCCTGATATACAATCTAAGGTCAGAGTCATCTGCAACTTGATCATGTCACACTTAAGTTGCCAGACACTGTTATCGGTGCAGGTATAGGTCCACATCTCAACGCAGTTCCCATAAGTGACATTTGTGCCATTTATTGCTGCACTGAACTGGGCAGTGGCTTCTGGTAACTGGATGGCTGCTAAAAAAAGATTTATTAAGATGTTAAATTTCTGTAAATATTTCTTTCTTCACACTTTTTGATTTCCTCAACATCAGCCGGTAAATGGGTAACCAATCCTTGCCCCTGTGGACAGCTATCCTGCATTTATGGTTGACTCATGTTTCCAATATTTCCTCAAATCCTGCATAATCCTGTTAATCACACATCCACAAAAAGGCAGTGTAAATATTTAGGATCAAATCTGAAAATGCAAATAAATTTTAAACATTCAGAACAAAATCTAAATGGAAAAAAAATATAAATTTAGAGCCAAGTTCTAAATATAAAAAGTTAATTTTAAAATTTAAATAATTAGGCTAGAATGTAAAAATATACGTCTAAATATTGAAATGTAAAAACCACATGACATAAATAATAATAAATCCTAACTGGGCGAACTTTTCTATAGTACATATAGTATTATAGTCTGAATACAGATTTTGTTTTAAAATGTTTTCTGTAAAACAATTTCAGTATCACTCATATCAGAATGAACTGATTAGGCTGGTTCATATGAACTACACGTATTTACAAAATTACTATTTGCGTTATATTGTTAATTATCTTGATTAGCACCCCAAAGTGCTTTCTATGTATTCTTTAAAACCTGTGCTGCTGGAGAAGAGAAACATCTCACTCCTGAAGGATAGTGATCCTCCAGGATCTGGACTGAACTCTGCTCCACAAAACAAAGTCATAACCAGAAAATATCTACACATACCCAACATCAATGACAGGTGGATCAGACGTGCCATGATCTGTAACCTGTCAGGGAAAAAAGTTATGAAACAGCTGAGGTAAGGGATTAACTCAAAAATGAAAAGAGACATTTCCACAGCAATCCTTCCGTTGTCTCATATAAACCAATAAATCACAGTTCACCTGAAGTGATCAAAGACATAAACTAAATGTTTTATCTACTATCCATTAGTGCTAAATAAATATTTTATTATTTTATTGATGGCTGAACTCACCCAGTCAAAAAGTTGCTCTCTGTCCAAGAAGTTGAAGAAGTAGAGACAGGAACCAGATGTCTGGACTTTATAGTCCCTCCATGAGCTAGAACAAACACGCCCACAAACAGGGTCAAAACTGTTTTATGTAATCTGGATATAAAACTCAAATTCCAGAAATTTTTATTAATATTTAAATTATATTAAGTTTATTTATACCAGCAGGACAATAAATAAATAAATACATAAATGAAAAATTAATCAGAAACAGCATCAGAGGTTTTTAAAAAACAGCCAAATAGATGCATACTAAGTTGTACTGCTTAAATGCTCTTTGAACATATTTCAGCTTTTTAAAATAAAATAGATGACAGATAATTTTGCTATCTCACCCATAATCCTGCTCGCTGGCTCAAGAAAATCCTAATTTACAATTAGTGAGTCTAAGTTGGGACATCTAATCAAATACATGTAAATCATTTCTGAAAACCACCAGAATAAATAAATTTATTTGCACATTAAGGTGGTAATTTACCTGGGCTGTCCTGCTGCCCCTGCGCACAAATGGACACCCATATACTTATTTGTTGTGGATGATTCCTAAACATTAATTTAAAAGATACAAGAAACTTTATTCACATTGTACCTTATTCACATTAAAACGAGAGGACAGTTTCAGAACAACCCATCCAAGATCTGGCATACAAAAACAAAAACAAGACACAACATAACAGAGTGAGGCTGAACTGTGGGCATGGGCCTTTATGGCGGTCCCATATGTAGGAGTACGGGGGTAGGGGGAGGGAGCAGCATCTGAGTCTGAGCAGTCTCCACACGGTGGAGACCATCTGTGGGTTCCAATCACCCCCAAATTTATAATTTTCTGAACTAACAGAAATTCTCCCACTCCAATCAGAAGAAATCCAGCAAACATAAATCCAAAAAAATCCACGTGTCTTTGATGTCCTCCATTGACAGCTGAGAAAAGCATATGATATTCCACAACTTCCAGGAATCTAAAGTATACCCCACTGGGTGCATTCCGTCCGGACAAGCTGGTGCCCCTGCTCCATTCTTTAGAAGACTTCTGGTCATGCTGCCTTTGCCAGATGTTTCCCAGTAAAACAGTTGAGTCCTCAGATGGAGCACCTGCTGTCAATTACCAGAAAATAGTCAAGACCTTCTCCATCACCCAAAGGAGTCGGGAGACTTGTGTAAACAACACTAATGTTTCCAACAAAGCAATGAAACAGAAGTATACTACCACTCATTGTCTTTCACCAAGGGTGACTCCAGAGTAGAATTAAGCCTGGTTTATGCTTCTCCGTCAGCTCCGCAAGGGACAGACACGCACGGATTGACTGAAGCGTTTTGCTCTCATACTTCTCTGTCTCCTGGAGAGCGTTGCAAAGCAATTGTCCTGCAGGACAACAGAGGGCGTAGCGCTGTTCTGTGGTATCCTGTCATGTATCGGTCCAAGATAGTGTGTTTATATTGTATTTTTTGTGTACATAAGAGACTTTTAACACTGACTTATTTTTCTCATTCTCCCACCGCTTAATGCGCTCCCCACCTCTAAACCCACGTTTCCTGTCATTTCCGCCCACAAATAAAACGCTTGCTGCGCGTCTTTTCACTCCTCCAGTCACGGGAGAATTAAACGTTCATATTTTTAGTTTTTTTGCGAGGTATTCTTCAAGCTTCTCCGAGTCTGCCGCTAGTTATCCTCGGCTCTCTTTGCAATGGTGGCGCTGTAAACAACAGCGGCATCCTGATCGATCACAAGCTTGCGTAATCCATCTCGTTCGACGGATGTTTAAAAAAGTGGGCTCGACTCCGTACGTACTTGCGGGCCTGCCGGAGCCCTACGCAAGGACGGATAATGGCATTGCGTGTCTGCGCACTGACGCAGACGGAGAAGCATAAATCAGGCTTAAGGCCGATTTCTGCTATCGGAACTATTTGTAATTTTACTGGACCTTTGTCTCAACTGTGGACCCACCACCCGCAGGAGGAACATGAAGGGTCCGGTGCAGTGTGGATCGGGTGGCAGACCGAGGCAGGAGCCTTGGCGGTCCGATCCCCGGACAAGGAAACTGGTTATTGGGACATGAAGCGTCACCTCGCTGGCGGGGAAGGAGCAGGAGCTTGTGGCAGAGGTTGAGCGGTACCGGCTAGATATAGTCGGACTCACCTCGACACATAGCATTGGCTCTGGAACCCAAGTCGTTGAGAGGGGTTGGACCCTCTTCTTTGCTGGAGTTGCTCCGGGTGAGAGGCAGAGGGCTGGGGTTGGCTTTTTGTTAGCCCCAAGACTCTCCACTTGTGTGTTGGGGTTTACCCTGGGGGATGAGAGGGTAGCTTCCCTGCGCCTTTGGGTTGGGGAACGGGTCCTGACAGTTGTTTGTGCTTGTGTGCCAAATATCAGTTCAGATTACCCACCCTTTTTGGAGTCCCTGGGATGAGTGCTAAATACTGCTCCATCAGGGGACTCCATTGTCCTGCTGGGGGACTTCAATGCTCATGTGGGCAATGACAGCATGACCTGGAGAGGTGTGATTGGGAGGAACGGCCCGCCTGATCTGAACTCGAGTGGTGTTTCTTTATTGGACTCCTGTGCAAGCCTCAGTTTGGCCATAACTAACACCATGTTCGAACATAAGGATGCCCATTGGTACACTTGGTACCAGGGCAGCCTAGGTCGCAGGTCGATGATAGACTTTGTAGTCGTACCATCTGACATCGGGCAGTATGTTTTGGACACCCGAGTGAAGAGAGGAGTGGAGCTGTCAACTGATCCGCCAGGGCTGCCCTTTGTCACCGGTTCTGTTCATTACCTTTATGGACAGAATTTCTAGGCGCAGCCGTGGTGTGGAGTGTGTCAAGTTTGGTGGCAGGAGAATCTCGTCTCTGCTTTTTGCGGATTATGTGGTCCTCCTAGCTTCATCAAGCTCTGACCTTCAGCTCTTGCTGGGTAGGTTCGCGGCCGTGTGTGAAGTTGCTTGGATGAGGATCAGCACCTCCAAATCTGAGACCATGGTTCTCGGCCGGAAAAGGGTGGCTTGCCAACTCCGGGTCGGAAGAGAGGTCCTACCTCACGTGGAGGAGTTTAAATATCTCGGGGTCTTGTTCACAAGTGAGGGTAGGAGGGATCTGGAGATTGACAGGTGGATTGGTTCATCATCTGCAGTGATGCGGACACTGAGCCGATCTGTCATGGTGAAGAGGGAGCTGAGCAAGAAAGCCAGGCTCTCGATTTACTGGTTGATCTACGTCCCAATCCTCACCTTTGGTCATGAGCTTTGGGTAATGACCGAAAGAACGAGATTGTGGATACAAGCGGACGAAATGAATTTCCTCCGTAGGGTGGCCGGGCTCAGCCTTACAGATAGGGTGAGGAGCTCGTACATTCGGGAGGGGCTCAGAGTAGAACCGCTGCTCCTCCGGATCGAAAGGAATCAGTTGAGGTGGTTTGGGCATCTGGTCAGGATGCCTCCTGGACGCCTCCCTGGGGAGGTGTTTCGGGCATGTCCTGCCACCAGGAGGCCCCTGGGTCTTCCCAGGACACGTTGGAGAGGTTACATCTCCAATCTGGTCCGGGAACGCCTTGGGGTCCTGCCGAAGGAGCTGGTGGAGGTGGCCAGGGAGAGGACGGTCTGGAGCTCCCTAGTTGGGATGCTGCCCCCGCGACCCGGACCCGAAAAGCAGCGGAAGACGACGACAACGATATTTATGGGAATTAGTGCTGTAAATTTGTGCTGCTACCTATCTTTGCCTTGGAAAAGATTGACTTTCCCCAGGCAAAAACAGGTCAAAAGCAAAAAAAGAAAAGAAGAGCACAGCTGCCTAACCCGAACATAACTGGTTCTTTTTGCAAAGCATCCTTGGAGCTCCCAAAAAGCATCAGACATATTAAATATCATTTGCATGAGGACAGTTTTGCTGTAATGCGCTCCATGTAGTTATTTGCATAGATGGTCGATATTGCTTCCTTTTCTTCCCGGTAAACAGGAGGCCACAACCAAACCAGCAAACAAGATCCTATAGGCGTGGAAAGCACAATACCCTTCCATAAAACAGCAAGCAGCTTGCAGATAATAAATAAATGTCAATAACAAGTTACTACAGTAACTTTGAGTCCAAGTACTGCAAAAGTTAGGAAAAAAATTAAACATGTCAAGTCTATGATATTTCTTTAGAAGGTGAGAATGGTAATTTATGGCAAACCATTCCAAATTTTTAGACAGACTGGATATGTGTTCCAGATAAAGCTATTGTTCCTATAGAAAATAACAGATATCCACAATATCCACAATAGCGGGGGAAAGATTGGAGGAAGACGGAGGGAGAAGATTTTCTCTCGTCTTCCTCCAATCTTTTTCCTTCCTTATAAATATTATTTGACACTTTTACTCCAACATCCACATAACACCCTGAGACTGAGAATCCTCTCTTTGTCTTCAAAGTTCACAGTCAACAAAATTACTGCTTGTTCAAAAAGTTTCAGCCACTGTTGGAATGATCTAGGCGATTTTGTATTTGCATGTATAAAATGACTCTACAGATCAGCATCAGTAAATCTAACTGTTGTGTTTTAGTGTTTTGAACAACTCTCTGCTTAACTTTTCTATTTCCCTCTTGTCTAAACAGTAACAACGGCCATGACACATCTCATTTATCTTCATCAGCTGCTGGGTATGATTTATATTCGAATCTATATCTGTTTTCTGTGATGCATTTCTTTTTTATTTTATTTTGCAACAATTATATAAAAATGGATATTTATTGTATGTGTTCTGCAGCCATCCAGCTGCTCTTGGTTCTATCTGAAAGAACATCCACAAATGGTCAGTTTTTCATGTACAGTTTGACCTCCTCAGTATCTGGTCATATGGAGACAGGAGTCTACATTTGTTTCCTTTAATCTGCTGGATCCTGCCATTCCATCAGCTGGAGTCTGGGCCTCTCTGCAGCTCGGAACACATGATAACATATTGTCAATAAACTGTTCCAGTTTCAAGGCCTAAGCTTCCCTTATGACTTCTACAGACTTCCTCACTCTCTGAATAAAGGGACTATTTTCAGATCATATGAGTTAATCAATCGTGAAATGGAATGAACAAATGTTATATGAAATGATCAATGATGTTTTGATTAATCTGTGCTTAAATTAATAAGGTTGATTAAGCTGTGCTTTAATTACTGAAGTTTGAAATGAATATTATTATGGTATGATCAGTCATTTTAGATTTAACAAGTGAACAAGGTTCATTAGAGATAAATTAAAGTTAAGTTAAACATCATGACACATAGATATTTTCTTAGCCACAAATCAGAACATCCTGTATCTGAAAGAAGGCGTGGCGTTCTGAGGTTTGCTTGTTAACATCCCTTAACATGGCACGTCCCGGTTGGCCAAGAAATCATAATATGAGAATATTAAAACAGAGCTTACTAGATGGTGAGTCAGTTCTATAAAGCTACGGACAGGCCATCCGAAGCGAACCCTCTTTAACCCAGAGCATTTTTTGACAAGGTGTCAAAAACCCTGCTAAAATCTGTCTACAGCGGACACAGCAAAACGGTTCCTTCAGCTATTCAGAAACAGCTGTTCTAGACGCAAACGATTTCATCTATCTGTTGTGACTCGGAAACATCTCTGGACTGGAGAGTCGGTGCTGCGGTTAATCTACTAAACCTCGGTGCCCAGCGGTCATCCGACCTCCCTGACCTCTGGATCCGCGAAGAGGGTCTCCAAAGAAAGGGTGAGCTAGACACACAGATTTCTTCTGATGCCATTTTGATGTGAACCAGCTTCATAGTTTAATGCAAGCCAAATTCTTTGAACACCCAGAACTCAGTTCTTCTAGATACGAAGGTTCTGATAAACATGTCACAAAGTGGAAAAATTTGGATTTAGTTTAAGTTGCATGATTTGTTTGTGTTTGCCATTTTGGTATTTTAAGTTGCATGATTTGTGTTTTATTGTTGACATGCTTATTTTGTGATTTGAATGGTTTTTCCCTTTGTGGTACCACCCAGAGACACTAATTGGAACAAATGGGAACAGGTGTAGAATGCCCACAGGTGCAATGGACTCAAAACGAGGTGTAAAAGGAACCGAGGAAAGAGTCCAGGAGGGCAGCAGACAACAGAGACATGCATGAGGTCTGAGAGTAAGAGACGCACCCTGGATGGTGACGTCTCTGGCAAGGACACAAACGGCCGACCACCCTGGAATGCAGAACGGCACCTGGAGCACCGTCCCGGGAAGTGGACAAGCGACCAAGTGTGGAGGATTGTGAGTTGCCCTCTCCTCCCCCATGTGAGTGGTGCAATGTTGGTGCTGGTGCCTCTGCGTCTTGTTAGGGCCTTGGGCCGAGGAGGGCGTGACGTGTCCAAGGAGCGGAGCTGTGCCAGGGGGCTGCGGAGAGACTGGCGGTGTGTGCAGCAGCCAGCGGGCGAGGGGACGACGCTGGCAACACATTCTTGCTGCAGGAGGTCGACTTTGTGCCGGACAGCCAAAGGACAAGGTGGGGCAGACTGGGTCCCAGCTACGTGGGTCAACACGGGTCAGCTGGAGCCAAGAGGTGGCTCCTTGTACTGGACACCGTCCCGCCCCTGGTGCTGCACAGGATGTTCTAGACCGTTTTTAGGACTGCTTTTGTTTGTTTGTTTTTTACTCCTTCAGTCTCTAAAGACTTGAACTTTTAGCGTTGTCTTTGCACCTCCAAATAAATGATCTGTTTTAGTGTTAGGTGGTTCCTCTGCCTGTTCTTTGGACCATGAGTCGTTTGTTTTCCCCCTTGTATCCGGGACCTACAGCCGTGGACGGGCTGCTGCGGGGTGACAAACGCACACCATTAAATCACCATAAATAACATCACATCCACTTAGATTCATCCATCACGGTCGTCCTATTTAACTTGTCTTGTTTTAAATTTGTTTAGAAAATAAATGTCTTGCTTTTTATAAACCTGACTGTCTGAATTGAGACGAAGTGTGTTTGATCACTGAAAAAGCAGAGAATCCTAGAATCTTCTGATTAAACATCCAAAGACCAAGCAGGTTGATGTGCTATATTTATATAGAGTATCACAGCTTATTAGTCATAAGTAGAGGTAACATATTAAGCTTAAAAGCACAACATTTAACCTCTACGCTGACATACAGGCAACAGAAGCCAGTCTCAGCCTTGGCACATGCTTGGTGCCTCAGATCATTACAAACTGTTGACTTAAGCCTGAACTGAAAGTTTGGTGTGAGAAAAAGAAAAATGACTTCAAACTGAAATTTGAAATTGTTTCATGGAATTGTGCTGGGTCTCCATGCTTCCCAATATTAATACGTACCACAAACGTTACTGGGTGCATCTAAAACTGGCAGAAATGCCAGATACAGTTTACTAAGTTTTACATAAATATTTCTGATATTGCATCCTTGTCATGAGAAATTGTCTCTTTGTGTGATTTTCATGTTTTTTTTTTCGCTAGATGAGAAAATAATGTGTGACAAATGCTGCAAAGGACAGTCGTGTGCTTCGTCTCCCTGTAAAACAATGTGTGTGAAATGAAGTAAACATCTCCTGTAAACTGGTAACACAAACCAACATGTTTGTTTGCTGTTTTTATGTGCAAATCTTTTTCTTCTAGTTTACAACTCCCCACGTCAAATGGTATGTCAACAGTTAAAATCAAATTTAAAGGTCCTCTTGGTTGTACTCCAAATGTCACTAACAGCACAGTCAATGAAACAAGTACGTACTGAAGTCACTGTTGTAGGCGTTTGTGACGTTTTCTTCAAACTTTAATCTAAATTATTCAATAGATCAATGTAAAACCTAGTTTTGAAAAATGGTTAATAAAGGATTGATCATTTGATCGTCGAAACTCTAATTTAATGCCTCAATCTACTGCATAAGAATGAGGAAAACGTAAGAGATTTTGTTCAAAGTAGATACTATTAGTTTAATAGTAATATTATTACTATTTAGCACATGTTGTTTGTTTGTTTGTTTGTTTGCTGTTGTACATCCAGCTCTGCTCAGGTTGTTGTTGCTGCTCACCCTTTTACGTAAGCATTATTCAGTCACGTTAATGTAAGACACGGATATGTGCATGTTGTTAAAGGTTTGTTTCTGGATTTATTTGATGAACCCAAAAGCTGGATGAAGCCTTGCAGAACTGCTGTCAAATGATTTCCTCACTGGTTGAAATCACCAACCAGAACGTACAGAATGAGACTATTAGACTTCTGCAAGACAAGACGGGTTTGGAGAACGGAGTCTGGGTCGGACTACAACGGTCCATCTTTGGAACGGAGCTAAACTGGATGTGGACATCAGGGTCCAGATCTGTGAACCCAAAATGGAACAGCAGCTTTTCTGTTTACCACTGGAACAACCGCTGTGGGAAGACCATCAGGTGTCAGGAGAAATAAGGCTGCTGGACGCTAACTGTCATGAGAAACTTCCCTACATCTATCAAGGTGAGCTGAGTTTGGGTTTTAAACATTTTTAAATTTGATTTTATTATTTCATGCTGAAGTTTTAGTTTTTTTAATTACAATCTCCATAGGTAACTATGAATAATTATAATTTCTCTGCAGATCCAGAATAAAAGCTGACACTGTAGAAACTCCTCTGGTCATCTGTTCTTCTGGGAACTCATCTTAATCACTTCTGGTGTTTCTGTCACTTCTTTATATTTATTTTTCACAAACGTGTATTGTTTCTCCACATAACCTGATATGTTAACATGGCAGGTCAGTTTTAACATTTGTTTTCATGTTATTTATTTATGTGAATAATAAACACAAGGTTTAAAATAAAGTCTAACAAGTTAAACAAAAACTGTTTTAAAATATTAAGCTAAAATGATGTGAATAAACTTGTTTTAAACAAATGACTGAACATTTTAGCCAATCTGTGGCTCTCTCTTGTGGTGAAATAAGAAAACAGATATGGCGAAGAGAAACTAAAACCCATCCATCCCTCCATCCATATGCTGAGTCCGCGTGTCCACGTAGGGTTGCGGGGGGGTGGGGGGGGGGGTGGGGGGGCTGTGTCTAACTCCAGCGGTCAATGGGCAATCAGGCGGGGTACACCCTGGACACAGAGCCAGTCCATCGCAGGGCAACAGAGACACACAGGACAAACAATCACACGTGTGAACACACACACACACACCTAAGGACAATTTAGACAGACCAATCAACCTAACAGTCATGTTTTTGGACTGTGGGAGGAAGCCGGAGTACCCGGAGAGAACCCACGTATGCACAGGGAGAACATGTTAACTCCATGCAGAAGGATCCCAGGCCGGGAAGCGAACCTAGGACCTTCTTGCTGCAAGGCAACAGCTCTAACCACTGTTCCACTGTGCAGCCCGAAACTGAAACCCAACAAACGTAAACTTTTTCTGATTATAAACTAAATGATTTGATGAAGACAGAAATAAGGTGAGTCAAGAAGGTAAACAAGTAAACAAAATTATTTAAAGCTCCAACTTGTGATGCTCTGGTAAAAGTCACATACTACAGTCAGCACATTATCACAAGTTCTCTTATTTGTACTTTTTTCTCTTATAAGACATTGAACAGTATTTATAAAAGTGCTTTTAAACAATTTAACTCAAAGTGCATTCAATTAAAAGTAGAGCATTCATCTTTTTCACTTTGATCTCTTCTAATCCTGGATGTGAGTGAGATCAGACAAGCTGTTCTGATGTTCTTTAGACTAAACTCATTACACAAACAGAAACCTGACATTTTCAGAGAATTTGCATGTGTTCTTCCTCATGGAGACCATGTGACGGCTGATTGTTGCACTAGACCGGTGCTTCCAGCTGCTTGAAGCCTTTTGTGTTTTGCCAGTTATGCAGAATTAATGATATTTGAAACAATTGTCACATTTAACTGGGTTACAACTAGGGGCTGCATGACTTAATTTTTTTTTAAGTCGACAGTCAAGTAATGAAAATTGAGTCGACTTTGACTAGCAAACTTGTTTTTATTTGACTATTTTCCTGTCCTGCCTGTTTATTATCTTCCTGCATCTCCTCTCAATCCTAAGGAAAAACTGCTACGTGGGTTCATATATATTCACCTTATAAGTTACCTTTGAACTGCAGTTCTAAAAGATCTACCGACCGCAAAAACAGCAGAGTGCTCGCTGCTTGGCGGCCGCATCAGTGATCGGTGCGTCACCGGAGGACAAGGTGTTTCGCTCCGCTCCACAGCAGCGAAACGCATCAGGTACAAATAAAAGACAGAAAACATTAAAGGAAATGAGCCGACATGAACGATCGCATGTTAAATTAGTTTTTGAGGTGGCGACACCTGATTTGCTAATGTTACGGTGGCCGTGCTCAGGACACAGATGTCTGGAGTGAGTCAACAATCAGAGCTTTGCATGCGCAAGCTGGTTAAGGTTAGGATGGGGGTGAGGGGAAGGTTAAATTGCGAGAGGGTAAAGGTCACAATTTGGTTAAATGTCCGTTTTACGGCGGGTGTCAGTACCGACGCTCTGGCACAGCGTGTCGCCTCCCGACGCGCAGGAGCTCATCACCTGCTGTCTTTTCCGAGGACTGCATCTTGTCGGTCATTATCACGTGACAGGGACTAGTCGATGAAAGGCATAAAAAGTCACTACAGAGCAGTGAAGTCGACTAGTTCATACAACCCCTAGTTACAACCTGTTTATACTCTAGAAAAATAAACAATAAAATATGAGTAACATGGAACAGGGTGGGGTAGAACAGCTCTCACAGAGGAAATAAAAAAAAAACGTAAACTTGACAAACTTGTAAAAAATTTGAAACAAAAACAGCACACAAACCCACCAAACAGTTAGTGTGTTTTTCTTAAATACCTCTTTGGCTCACACACACACACACACACACACACACACACACACTGTTCTGTCTGGACAATAAAGATCTACAAACTGTATCACTCAGATTTTAAGTAAAATAAACTATTTTGTATGAAGTCCACAAAAACTTTGCTTTGTTTGATGTAGATCTCTGAAAAACATGATTTAAAAAAAGCTATTAAAAGTCATTATCTGCCATTTCAGAGTCACCTTTTGAAATTACTGATCGATCCTTTGCTGAGACTGAAACTTAAAGACATCTAAACCAGCTCAGGTGGTTTATCCACTGACCGGAGCTCAGTCATCGTCCTGGATCATCTCTCTAAGGCACTCTTTTAGATTGTCCACCCTGTCTGCAGTAGCCGTGTGAATGGCCTGCTCCAGTTGCTGCTGCGCCACATCCAGTCCCGTCACCTTCGGGGAGTTGTGTGGGTACAGGAACCCCCTGAGCAGGGTGAAGTAGCAAGCTGAGGACAGCAAACCACACAAGTAGCGCAGGAACATCTCATAGCGACCCAGCGGCAAGCTAAGGGTTTTCACCACGGCACACTTGACCAAGCCTGCAGCTGATTTGCCGAGTGTCAAGTGCTTGGGCAGAGAACCAGAGTCCAGAATGTTCTTAGACTCCAAGTAGAACATTAGGAAGACGTAGAGGGAAGCCATGAACTCCTAAAAGAGACAAAGTAAAAGTGAAGCATGGACAACGTGTTTGGTGGAGCTACTATTTTAGCTGATGCTGAGTGTTACCTGAAAGGTGTAGTGGATGAAGCAGAACGTCCTTCTGCCTGGGACAGGGGGACAGACCTCCGTGCACAGACCCGAGAACACGACCACCTCCGTCAGCGACAGGCCCAGCTCCTTCACCTCCTCTTCATAGAACACATTGGTGTTCCTCTCCAGCATCTTGAAGGCCAACTTTGCCATCTTCGTCAACAGCTTCTTCTCTGTGTCAGTCCATTTCTGAGGAAAGAGGAAGTGCAAAACTCTGACACTGAAAGGACCGTAATACATTAACATTAAGAAAAGATCAAAGCACCAGCTCATTTTCTGCCTTTCCGTAGTAGAACCGCAGCCTGCGGTTGGTCTGAATGATCATAATGTGGATGAGAAACTGCGTCAGTCTGGGGGGGTTGGTGCCATAGCCCTGGTACTGGAAGCAGCGGTCGAACACGGTCGCCAAAATCCAGCAAAAAAACGGATGGCGAGCCAGAATTCGGAGTGTCGGCGTACGCTTGTAATGGTGCACGATGTTTTCAGCTAGTTGTTTATTGGAAAAGCGTTTGGTCAGGTATTCGTCTTTCATCTCATCACTAGAAGAAAAGAGAGAGGAGGATAAAAGATACAACAACAAAGCGTGGAACACAGGAAGGAACATGATCCACGCACACCTAAAACCCTGCAGCTCAGTGACGACATCCACAAACTCAGGCGGTATCTGTGAGACGGCAGCCCGTCTGCCAAGGATCCAGAGGCGAGCGCCACGAAACAGGTTCCCTCGGATGATGTTCACTACCAGGACGTCTACGGGAGCTCTGGTGTAGTTGTCGTTTATCACCGGTGCGTTCTGCAGAAACAAAACAAGACTTGTTTACGTTGCTGCTGGTTCAGAGTTCAACGTTTTTTCATACAGATGTCTGGCGTTTGTGTGCAGATGAAATACCTGCCAGTCCAGAGTAGCCTGGTAGCAATCAAAAGAGTCCATTATGACCAGAACTTTAGTGTTCTCCTCATCCAGCAGCTTAAAGTCTTTCACTCCAGAATAATAATAGTTTATTGCTTCTGAGACGGACATGTTCACCGCATTGCTTCGGTTTCGCAGAAACCACAAAGATTTGAATGAAAGCTTGATGACGTACTGCAAATCCTGAGGAGAGGACGGGGGAAAGGTTTCAATAAAAAAAACTTTAACAGTAAACAAGTTAAACAACAATCAGTTCTGCAGAGCAGGACTCCATCATCAGAAGCTTTTAGAATTTTGATCAATTTATAGTTTTGATCATTCATGTAAAAATTAGGTTTATATAAACAACATATTAGAAATTTAGACCACATTTGAACCTTGACCCTGGTAACAAGGTCCTCAGAGAAAATCTCCACATGTAGAAACTTTCCCCAGTGGATGGAAAACCAACTCTAAAGATTTCTGACTTAACTTGAAGCTAAATAATTATTTCTCTGTGAAACAAATGAAAACAAAAAGACTTCAGTTTGATATGAAACGTAAAGATCGGACTTTGGAGCACGGAGGAGGGTTCCATGGTCTGATGAGTCAAGCTGGTCCTCTTATAGAGAGGGAGGGTTTGTGTTCCCATCAACAGATTCAGTCATTTCTAGGTGGCTCACATTTATTTCTAGTTCCCATCGGCTGGAAATCGTTTGAGGTTTTCACACTTGGCTAAACGTTCAGAGCTCAGAAATCAAATCAACCAAAAACTATTTGGACGTATCAGAGGAGACTTTGAACTGCCTCATCTACTATCAGCATCTTGGTAAAAAAATAAAAATAAAAATAAAAAATAAAACTTTTTGCACCCCAGGAAGGAAATAGTGTTTGCAAGAAAAAGATGTAAAGTTAGTGAAGAAACATTTTAAACTGACATGGAAACACATGCAGATGTTTTCCTGTAGCTCTGTTCACTTAGTGCAGTTCAGGTGTTGATCAGATCCTTTTGTGTGGAATGATCCTTTAATCGTTTAAACGTGGACGCCATCACACGCCGGCGTGAACGGTCTACAACAAGGAAGTAACTCAGTTGCATGGCATGGAGGAAGACCAGAAGTAATGATAAATGACCCGCACTTGTGTAGCGCCTCTCAGAGTGAGGACTCCAAAGTGCTTTACACTACAGTGTATCATTCATCCATTCACACACACATTCACACACTGGTGGGGATGAGCTACGATGTAGCCACAGCTGCCCTGGGGCGCACTGACAGAGGCGAGGCTGCCGAGCACAGGTGCCACCGGTCCCTCCGACCACCACCAGCAGGCAACGTGGGTCAAGTGTCTTGCCCAAGGACACAACAGCAGAATTCTCTGTCCGAAGCCGGGATCGAACCTGCAACCTTCCGATTACTGGACAACCCGCTCAACCTGTTGAGCTACTGCTGCCCCAAGTAACATCTGATCTGAGCTGACCAGGTTATGACCAGATGATGAGCGGAGTCTCGTTTCATCTACCGTTTACATTTAATTGTGTCACTTCCTGCCTCCTCTGGCAAGAATCTGTGACCTTTAATCACACTTCTGTGAACTTCCAGACTCACCAGAAGTGTATCTGATTTAGGATCACATATAAAAGTGGACTAGGTCTGGTTTCAAAAAGAAAATCTGATTTCTGCTGTTCAGATTTTCAAATAAAAATCATAAACAGATCACTCAAGAGGACATAAAATTTGTTTTACTTTTTATAATTTTGTGTTCTTCTAAACAACTTATTAATTAGATCATTAATACACAGACTGCATTTTAACGTAAAGCTCTAAGCAATGTTATTAGTGAGATATGATAATGAGTTATGTTCCAAAAAGCGTCAGACAGAAGTTTTGACTGCATGTTAAAAAAAAAAGAATGCAAAGAAACAAATAAATCACTAGAAAGAGAGTAAATCTGTCAGATCTTTGTCTGCCATTTTGTGAAAGCAAAGCGTGTGACACGTTTCTCCATCGGAAGGACTTAAGTGTCCGCTCTCACCCTGTTGGCGCGCTCTTCTGCCCAGTCCAGAGAGAATTTGGCCACGGAGACGGACATCCCCACTCCTGCAATCCCAGTGGTGACCACCGTCCTCACCGGCGAGCCGTCACCCTTCTGTAGTCGGAACAGATTGTTCACACCAACAAACGTGTCCTCGGCGGGGACTTGGAGAGGAGTCGGAGGCTGTGGCAGGAACTCGTGAGAAGGGTCGACTCCTCCGCACCCGTGGGTGGACAGCTGAGGCTCCACATAGACATTGTTCAGAAAACTCTGCTTTCCAGCTTGAACCACGCCCTCGTGAATGATTTGGTGTTTTCGGAACAAAATGTTTTTCAGGTAAAAACGGAACAATGCTGCGGGTGGAGAAAAAAGGAAAAGGAGAATAAAAACATGTAGAAGGCATCTGGAATCTGCTTTAAAAGGATCTGTCCCTCTGTCAGTAATATTCACACCACAATGCTCTACAAATTATGAATATTACCTTATCTAATTTTGGAGAAAATAACAATTCTACAAGAAGCAACATTAGATCTGCACAAAATCGCCAAGAAAAACAAAGTTGTAAAAAACTGACTGGAGTAATAAGCGTGCCAGGTTCAGGTTTTAAACACGTTTCACAGTAAAACAGAAACGTTTACAATCAAAAATGACCCATAGCGTTACGTTGGTGAACCTGAGTGTACCTTTCTTGCACTGATTCTTGAGTTTTTCTGCCTCCTCCTTCTTGTCCATACTTTCAAGAGTTTTTATGGTGTTCATCAAAGCTTTATCTGCTCCTGCAGACGACAAGACACACACAAAATCTCACTCCTGCTCACCATCAGCTGATCTAACTGGGCATAAGTGTGTTTTCTCACCAAACAACTCAATGCTTTTATCTACAAAGTCAAGGAGATCTCCCTGCAGCACTTGGGTCCGGGCGCTGCCGGGCTGCCATGTGTAATACCACGTCTTAAACTTGAACAGCTCCTCATTACTGAGATCAGATAAAGTACTCTGGATACTCTTGGGACAGAAGATAAAAATATGTTAGCATAAATATATGTTTCCTCTTCTTTTTTATTAAAACACAAGATTAGCTGATAAATTTTCTATTTTTGAGTTTATCTGGCAGCATCCTAAGCATCCCCACAGCAAAGTGGCTTTAGTGTGTGCTGTACTTTGAATATGTGAGGCAGATCCTGCTCTGGGTCCAGCCTGCCCGGCTGGCCGTCCTCCTCTGTTTGCATAAAACCTTCCATTTCCAAGGGTTCAGGTGGTTCTGGGGAGCAAGTGTACAAAGGTTCATCCCCATCTTCTAATTCCTCCTCTGTCAGCTCATCTGGATCCGCAGAGCTAAGAGAGGGAAAAAAAATGTCAAAAGCTGGAGATTAATGAATAAAAAGGAAACAAATCAATTAAATTAAACACCATATTGTAAGTATATGAAAAATGTAGGATTATACTCAAAGCTAATCACCATGGACATGTTGCAAATACAACAATTAATCAAATGATTAGGTGTGTGTGTGTGTGTGTGTGTGTGTGTGTGTGTGTGTGTGTGTGTGTGTGTGTGTGTGTGTGTGTGTGTGTGTGTGTGTGTGTGTGTGTGTGTGTGTGTGTGTGTGTGTGTTAATCACCCAGTGTCAATGACCATAGCTCCTGGGGGTTTGGTCTGCTGGGTGGTTTCAGTGAAACGACTCACTGCAGACTCTGAGGGCATCACGGTGTATCTGGAAAACATAAATCAGATTATTCGTGAATTTTTGTTAAAAAAAAAACACATCCTAGTGCCTGGCCTGCATGTATGCGAGCAATGTTGTGCAAAAGTCTTGAACCACTCCACATTTCTTTACATTTTGATTCCAAACAGACATTTTGGTATGCTTTTAAAATGGTCTTGATTGGTAGTTCTACACACTTCCAGGAGGTTTTTTAAAGTATTTATTGGAGTTTTGATCTTTTTTAACTCATTTTTAGTGCTGCACATGAATATTCTTACAATATGCTTTCTTTACGTTCCCCAGACCTATAAATCACAGGGATGAAAAGGCTCCTAAACTAAATAAATAAAATAAAACTGGAACAACAAACAAACAAAAAAAGACACAATTTCTTACTGTGTCTTATTAAGCTAGTTTATGCCACTAGTTATTTACCCCATCATTAAACCATGGAATAAGTTTAACATCAAACCTTCAATGCAAAGTCAAACTTCATGCTACAAAATATTGGTATTTGTTAATGCTGACAGTTAGTCTTCTTCAGTACGCTGTAATGAATTGTGAACAAACACGCCCCTCTGCTATAGTGGGCATGAACCTAAAACGTAGGTTTAGCCATTTCCTCTTATAGCTAATATTAGGTTTTAACATGTTGCTATTCATTCATGTTGATAGTTAAATAATCTTGTAAAGCTCTCTTGGAATTATTATGGAAAAATTACTGAAAGGAAAACTCATGTTAAAGCCAAATTTACTCAGATCCCAATATGCTGAAACTTAATGTAGCTCCTAGGTGATTGATAGAACAAAGCAAGAGTTAAATCTACTGAATTATTAAACTTTCACATTAAAAAACATATAAACAACGCCTAAAAAGTGAGAATGGTACCTCATTTCAGGAGGAGCAGGATGTTCTGGTAGCACAGTAACCGGCCTTTCCCCTTCCTCCTCCTCATCTGTGCTTTCAATGTCACTCTTCATCGAGCCATAACTGGAAGGAGGTCTCTTCCACTTCTCCTTCTCCTCTTCATCAACTTCACTTCCAGAGGTTGTGGTGCTTCAGAGATTAGGACACATTAGTAAGAAACTCAAGATCCCGTTATCATGTTAGTTACTCCATTTAATAAAGTAGGTTTCTATTAATAACTTGAGAAGTGACATGTATATAGTGCTTCTGTGATGATTATAATGATCAAATTAAAGCATTTTCATATTTAACAACTTGTGCAACAGTTTGTAAATAAAAATTATATTATTATTATTTGTACTATTAAAAACTGTTTACAAAAATAAACAGCAAATAAAGCAGCTACAACTGAAACCAGAGTAGGATAACTAGCTTGAGGGAAGTCTTGGGCGTTCACTAATGCATCCAAAAGTCAGATACAACTATTTTTATTTTACAATTTTATTCACTAAACACGAATCCACCTACTTGTGTTCTCCGGTGTCCTGTTCCATGTTTATGGCTCGATAGGTGATCTAAAAATCTTCAAACAACTTCAAAGCGACTCTTGTAGCATTAGGTTGTTGCTGTTAGCGTACCAGAAATTGAAAGAAGTCGGTTATTTTATTTTCCCTGATTAGTTTAATCTTTTCTGAGTTGACATATCGCGATTTATAATAAACACGTTTAATGTGCGATAAAATGTACACGAGAGACGGAAAATAAGCCCATATCTTAAAGACATAAGCCAAAAAGTACTATCACTTCCTCATTGTATTAAGTGTCATTTTAAGACTAACTTCCGGACAATGATTTTCCAGAATAAAACAAATTATTTTTTAAAACCCCGCCTCTACGGTGTCCTTTCCTATGGATAAATGTAAGCTTTATTAACTGCTAGAACCATATTTTTGTCATATATTTTACAACAAATTTTAAAATAACATGTAAATTTACTCTTCTAGAAATGTTCCAGAAGTCCTTATATTAATTGTAATACTTCAATTAATTCCAGTGTTCAAACTAGACTGAGACCTTTTTCTTTCCTTATCCAATTAATTGGTGCATAAATGTACACCGTTATCTATTTGAGAACTTTCAAATCATTATCTGAACATGAACAGGTATGACGACGCCGATCGGGTTTCAAAAAAAACTTTATTCTGAAGGCTTGAATCTCAAACAGGAAGTAATGTGACAAGAAATTTCAGAAAATCTCCACAGGATTTCTCACTGGACAGCAAATAAACAATGAATAACCATCAGTTTGACTTAAAAACAAGTTTGAATTATTTTATCACATCATTGCTAGTTTCATATGCATAAAGAAAACCGTTCAGTATGCTGTCAGTGAACTAAATGGTTAACTTCCAGGTCAACCAGCCAAAACCCAACAGTGAATTAGCATGTAATTAAAGAGGTCTTTTGACATGCATCTTATAATTTTTTTTATCCGATTCAGTAAATTGATTGCAGTGATGTAAGGTTTTATTTTATTTTATTTAAAACATTTTATTAACAAATATAACAATATTCAAAGGAAAAAAATGCAAAGTGCAAAATGTCCTAAAAGACAATGAAAATTTTGAAAAAAAAAAAAAAGTTTTTAACAATTATGCATTCTCCACAGCAGTCCTCAAACTTTCATTCTGCGCATCATCTGTGAAATAAAAAATGCACAATTAAGTCAAATAGGCACATTTCTGACACATGAACACTAGTTATTTAAAATGAAAAAATATATATCCTAAATTGTGTTTAGGAAGGAAAGCATCAATAGAAACATAGAAACCCTTCTCCTTAGTGAGTAGAACACCACGTGCTGTTAAATTCCTGTATTTTTAGACCATCATGTGAAAACCAGCCTTTTAAAAGTTAAAATTTATAAATTAATATTAACCATCATGAACTTCCAAAAGTTTTTCATGCTCTACAGACACCTGTTTCTGAAACAAAAGTTGTTATAGTTGATTATGTGCAGCAGTTAGGAAGAGACTACACTTTGATTCAATAGGACACGTTATGAAAGTAAAAACATTTCACAAATTCTGAAAAGGGTCATCTGAATAGGATGCAGCTCTTAAACCAGTTTAACAAGTCGTCATTTCAGTGGCAAGAGTCTTAATTAAATCACCAATAAAAATAGTCAGCAGTGGTATTTATTTGGAACATTTAAAAAAATAACACCCTAAACACAGCAAACACTAGCATAAGCATTGCCAATTCTCGCCAACATTAAAGGAAACTGACATTGCAATATTAATATTTTATGAGGACCACCTACTCCCCTCGCCAACTAGTGTGCATTATGGGTTTGATTTAGTTAAAGTTGGTCTTTAAACTTATTACATTGTCATCTAGCAGTTTAATCACAACGCTGTTTGATGGTAGCTCATTCAAAAATGTAGTAAATGTCTGCAGATTCTGAGCATTTATTTTACCTTGCGAGCACTTTCGGTCAACCCAGGAGACTTTGCAGATCTGCTGTTAGCTTGAGAAGCTTTTTTTACTCCTTTTGAAGTCGATTGTGGTGACTTCCAGCTGCCGGGTCGAGCCGTGGGGGATTTACGGGCGGAGCCTCGTAGTTTGGTCAGTTTTTTCTTTAAATAATTGTTTTTCTTGGGGGTGTTCTCAATGGTGAACACCGTAGACTGCCTCCGCTCAGCCTGAGATTAAACGAAGAGAAATAGTAAAGAAAAAAAATACTCCACAGCTTGTGTGTGTGTGTGTGTTACTCACAGGAGTGAGGACAGCGTGCAGATGAGAGCTGCTCACGTTCTTGCTTTTGGGAGTGAGAGGACGAGGGAAACAGCTGGTTCTTGTTTTTCTCTTTAGATAAAAACAAACATGATGAATAAATTAAACATTTGTTGAATTTTTTTAACATGTGACTGTCTATTTTAGTGTTACACAGCACACTTCAGTCAAGTTGCACCTTTATGTGACAATAACAGTATATTTCTGTGTGACTCTGAAAACCAACCTCAGGTGAAGTCTGGGGTAAGGACAGTGTGGAAGACGACTGTTTTGAACCCCTTGGGCTTTTCTGGCTGGGTCTTTTGGACGGAAGCTGTCCCGGCATCAAGGACATGCGATGAGCTTGGCTTCCAACACCTGCCTGACCAAACATGAGAGACTGCCGATGGGACACGAGGGAGTCCTGCAGCTGGCCTGGCATCATCGATGCCCGTCTGATCGTGTCAGACGGGTCCCCGGTGCGGAGCTCCTCGTCAGTGAAAACGAATCCGCCAGTCCCTCTAGTCTTTAGACATAAACATGGGAGGAGTTTCACGTGAATAAAGATTTGATGTAAAAATCTAATTAGCATCCTCTGAACCAACAGGTTTTTCTCTCTCCTCACCTCAAACTCTACAGGGTAGCTGCTCTTTAGGTGTGGGAGACAGGCCTTGTTTCTGGCCTGGAGCTCTGCGATCCTCAGCCAGTCATCAGGACCACCGTCTGGTTCGTTTTCTGCTCCAACACAGAACGTTCCAGCGGCTGAAGGGAAAAGGATGCAGGAAAATCAAAGTCAAGCTTTTTATCAAATAACACAGACGATACCACATAGTTCTAACTTTCTTTAAAAGGAAACTAAATAAAAAGGCAGAAATAATGCATTTATTATAAATGATAAGAAGTCCAGGGACAAACTTACTCTGTGAATGAATGGTGCTCCGTCTGTACCCCGGAAGACCGATGAGCTGGTCACTAGCAGCACTGGACTTACCATGAGGCGTGTCAAAAGCCTCCATAGACAGGGATCGAGCAGAGTGGGCAACAGAGCAGCCAGAACCCAACGTCTCACTTTCCTCAGAAGAACCTGGCATCTTCTACAAACCACAGCACAAACGTTCCAACATGAGGCCTCCGTGCTTTAAACAACTGACTGTATATCAACGAATCATCCACCTTGCTCATGGTGATGTTTACAACTTGGGTGGTCCGGCGTCGTTTGGCAGATGATGCCGGGTTTTTCTGAGCCGACTCCAGAACCGTGTCAGAACTTAAACTGCCCCTAGGTGATGGGAGATAAACAAGAGACAAGCTACGGTGACAAAAATCCATTAATGTTTACAATAAATGAAAAATGTTTGTTTGGGACACAGCTTCTTTTTTGTTTCTTTATATAGAATTTATTTCAAATCTGACCTGAAAATATATTTTTCTAATGCTAAAAGTTCTTTATATCATCAGAAAAGTCCAAAACAGAAACGAAAAGTATAAAACATCTGTGGAGCAGCAGTTCTTTGTGCAAAAAGAAGTCGAAGCCAATCGTGTCATCGGACATCCTCACAGCATACCTTCTGGTCTGTCTGGTGTTAATGGGAGTAAAGTACAAGCTTTCCTGCGACTCAGACTGAGGACCTTTGCGTTTGGCTGCTAGACGCTCTGAGCTGCGGACGAGTGGCGTGCTCGACTCCTCGGGTGCTGACAGCTTCCTGTAATGTTTAAGAAAAGTGAAAGATAATCATTAATTCTCCCATAATCCCCAAAAACAAATCATCACACAGGATCAGTCAGCTGTTAAGTGTCTTCTACCCAAATGATTTGTGCCATTTAATAAAAAATAATAATTGATCCAATCTTGTAAAGATGATTAAAAATAGAAAGAATTTGTTATTTGTATTACATTTTTTGGTAACACTTTCTTTTACAGTCCTCTAAGTACTTACATTGTAATTACATAGATAGTTAAAGTGTATTATTGTGTAATTAAAGTGTATAATTGTAAAAAAAAGTGTAATTACTGTGTGAAGCCGCATTTACTGGGAATGATTAATAAAAATTAGAACTGAACTCGAGTTACATGATAACCGTTTAAGAACTCAGAAACAATATTACACTTTTACTTACCGTGTAATTACCATGCAAGTGTGGTAATTAAGGGACTGTAAAAGGAAGAGTTACCAATTTTTTTTTTAAAGTCATTCCTTATTTGATCATTCAGTCTTGATGTGTAGCTACCTGAACTAAAAGCACACCTGATGACCCAGACATTACCTTGTAGAGTTCAGAGTGTCTTCCAGGGAGCTTTCACCAAGGCTGTCACAACTCATGCTCCTCTTCATCTGCGATCTGGTGGAAACACCCGAGCGAATGGTGGGAACCGCCAAGTAAAACGACTCTTTAGACGAGCCAGCCTCACTGCCATGAATCCTATTTTGTGCCCGAAGCGTCTGGTCAGCATAGGCCAACTAAAGACAGAAATGTTGCCATAGAGACTGAAATTCAGCAGCTTTTTCATTCTAACAGTAACCTTAGAGGCATTGCTTGTTTTTCTTTTAAATACACAACAAACCTGTGTCTCTAAACTGGCCACTGTACTCAAAAGTTTCTTCTCATTGGTCTGGACCTTGTCTAGATCAGCTTGGAGCAGTCTTTTGTCCATGGTGATGGCATTAACTTCATGGTTCTTCACCTCTAAAGCACGTCTGAGCTCCGCCGTTTCCTCCTCACTTTTCTGAAGAAGCTGTTTCTTGTTGTTATAATGGCTGACTGCTTTCTCCATCTGTGGAAAAACAAACACATTCACTGCAATAATCAGTTAAAAAAACTCACTACACCATTTAAAACAAGAGTGAACACAATTCTGGTTTTAAAACTGGGGCCAAGACTAGATTTGTGTTTGAACCAACCTGAGTCTTATAATGTTCAGCAGCCTCTGATCTAGCAGCAAGCCGTTTCTCCAGGTCTCTCATCGCCAACTCAGTTTCTTCAGCCTTTTCTCTTTCCATCAAAAGTTGCTCTCTCTCTCTTTTTAGGATTTCAAGCTCCTTCTGCAGCACCAATTCCAGTTTGCATGAGGTTTTGTTTTCCCTCTCCATGGCCTCGTTGGCTCGAGCAAGCCTGTCCTTCTCAGCGATTAGGGTTTCGACCCGTTTCTCCAGAGCCTTCCGATCGGTCTCAGCCTGGTGGATCCTGACCAAAAGTGTTTCCTTTTCCTGAACAACTACTTCCTTCTGCTTTAATGAGGAAACATGTAACTCCTGCACTGCCTCCTTCATTCTCTGGTTTGCTGCTAGCGTCTCTTTGACTTGTGTCAGCTCCATGTTTACTGACAGAAGCTGCTGCTCGAAGGAGTTCATCTTTTGAGACGATTCCTGCTGGGTGTCATCTAACTCCTGCTCTTTAGCTTTGAGTCTTTGAGAAAGTGTTTTGATTTCTTGCTGCAGCTCGTCAGAATGTGAGGAGCTCTCTTCCTTTAGGGAGACCAGCTGGTCCTCCTTGGTCTGGATCTCTTCTCCAAGTCTTCTGATCTCTTGCTCTGAGATTTCGATCTTACTTTTAAACGAGTCCTTCACCTGAGACATTTCCATGTCCTTCTGAGCCAACAGGTTCTCATGAATCTGCCGTTCTTCTGTGGCAGTTTTCAGAGACTCCATCAAACTGTGTACTTGATTTTTAAGAGCTTTGATCTCCTCACTGAGGACTTCTGTCTCCTTACAGTGATCAGATTTTAACAGATCAGCTTCATGTTCTTTGGTCTGGATCTCTTGCTTCAATCGGTTCACCTCAATCTGCAGGGCCTCCAGGTGCTGACAGCTCTGTAGCTGCTGCTCTGCAAACTGCTCTTCCTTGGATCGTAAGCTTTCTTCAGCTGCTCTCAGAGAGGAACGAAGACTTTCAACCTCTTCCTTCACTTCTTTGATCTCCTGGTGTAACTCTTCTGCTTGCTCTGAGCTTTGATTTTGTATCAAGGTCATCTGTTGTTCTTTGGTCTGGATCTCGTTTTTCAGGTTCTTTACCTGCTCTTCAGAAGTAGACAAGTGTTGCTGTAGAAGCTCCTTCTGGTGAGCGTTCTCCTGCTCCTGCTCGTTTAGCAAAGCTAGTTGAGTCTGAACCTTTTCCTCAGTGGTCCTGAGAGATTCCCCCATCAGAACCACCTGTTGTTGCAGATTCTGGATTTCTTGCTGCAGCTCGTCAGAATGTGAGGAGCTCTCTTCCTTTAGGGAGACCAGCTGGTCCTCCTTGGTCTGGATCTCTTCTCCAAGTCTTCTGATCTCTTGCTCTGAGGTTTCAATCTTACTGTTAAATGAGTCCTTCACCTGAGACATTTCCAAGTCCTTCTGAGCCAACAGGTTCTCTTTAATCTGCCGTTCTTCTGTGGCAGTTTTCAGAGACTCCATCAAACTTTGTACTTGATTTTTAAGAGCTTTGATCTCCCCACTGAGGACTTCTGTCTCCTTACAGTGGTCAGATTTTAACAGATCAGCTTCATGTTCTTTGGTCTGGATCTCGTTCTTCAGGTTCTTTACCTGCTCTTCAGAAGTAGACAACTGTTGCTGTAGAAGCTCCTTCTGGTGAGCGTTCTCCTGCTCCTGCTCGTTTAGCAAAGCTAGTTGAGTCTGAACCTTTTCCTCAGTGGTCCTGAGAGATTCCCCCATCAGAACCATCTGTTGTTGCAGATTCTGGATTTCTTGCTGCAGCTCATCAGAATGTGAGGAGCTCTCTTTCTTTAGGGAGACCAGCTGGTCCTCCTTGGTCTGGATCTCTTCTCCAAGTCTTCTGATCTCTTTCTCTGAGGTTTCAATCTTACTGTTAAATGAGTCCTTCACCTGAGACATTTCCAAGTCCTTCTGAGCCAACAGGTTCTCATTAATCTGCCGTTCTTCTGTGGCAGTTTTCAGAGACTCCGTCAAACTTTGTACTTGATTTTTAAGAGCTTTGATCTCCTCACTGAGGACTTCTGTCTCCTTACAGTGGTCAGATTTTAACAGATCAGCTTCGTGTTCTTTGGTCTGGATCTCTTGCTTCAATCGGTTCACCTCAATCTGCAGGGCCTCCAGGTGCTGACAGCTCTGTAGCTGCTGCTCTGCAAACTGCTCTTCCTTGGATCGTAAGCTTTCTTCAGCTGCTCTCAGAGAGGAACGAAGACTTTCAACCTGTTCCTTCACTTCTTTGATCTCCTGGTGTAACTCTTCTGCTTGCTCTGAGCTTTGATTTTGTATCAAGGTCATCTGTTGTTCTTTGGTCTGGATCTCGTTCTTCAGGTTCTTTACCTGCTCTTCAGAAGTAGACAAGTGTTGCTGTAGAAGCTCCTTCTGGTGAGCGTTCTCCTGCTCCTGCTCGTTTAGCAAAGCTAGTTGAGTCTGAACCTTTTCCTCAGTGGTCCTGAGAGATTCCCCCATCAGAACCACCTGTTGTTGCAGATTCTGGATTTCTTGCTGCAGCTCGTCAGAATGTGAGGAGCTCTCTTTCTTTAGGGAGACCAGCTGGTCCTCCTTGGTCTGGATCTCTTCTCCAAGTCTTCTGATCTCTTTCTCTGAGGTTTCAATCTGACTTTTAAACGAGTCCTTCACCTGAGACATTTCCATGTCCTTCTGAGCCAACAGGTTCTCATGAATCTGCCGTTCTTCTGTGGCAGTTTTCAGAGACTCCATCAAACTTTGCACTTGATTTTTAAGAGCTTTGATCTCCTCACTGAGGACTTCTGTCTCCTTACAGTGGTCAGATTTTAACAGATCAGCTTCATGTTCTTTGGTCTGGATCTCTTGCTTCAATCGGTTCACCTCAATCTGCAGGGCCTCCAGGTGCTGACAGCTCTGTAGCTGCTGCTCTGCAAACTGCTCTTCCTTGGATCGTAAGCTTTCTTCAGCTGCTCTCAGAGAGGAACGAAGCCTTTCAACCTGTTCCTTCACTTCTTTGATCTCCTCGTGTAACTCTTCTGCTTGCTCTAGCTCAGTCTCAAGACTGGCCACCCTTTCCTCAGTGTGACGAAGAAGCTCTCGGCTCTCTCTATTTTCCTCCTTTAGTGTAAATATTTCTTGTTCAAAAGCAGCGTTGTGCTGCTGTAGTGTGCTAATTTGTTGTTGGTACTCCGCCATCTTCAGATTGCAGTTTTTAATTTCTATTTCTGCCTCCTTTAGAGAAGAAAGTGTGCAATCCAGCTCATTCCTCAGGCTGAGAATTTCAGTGTTCAAAGATCTCTGGAAATTGGAAAAGCACACATTTGGTAAACATCACAGAAAACTGTTTTTCTACTCAATAAAGTCTTGGACTAGCTAGTTCACCTCCATCACAGGACCCATATTCTCTCCTTCTTCCTCCTTGGTGGCCTTGCTCATTTCTTCCTCTAAACAGGATATCTTTCCTTGCAGGATTTGAATCTGTTCAGTCAGGAGCTCCTGGGCAAAAAAGGCAGTTATTAAACACTTGGATCAAGTCAAATCCTTTAATTTAAAATGTATTTAAAAAAATCTAAACATTTACTTTCTGTGCAGTTGCTTCCTTCAGTTCTGAGATTAGTTGGCTGGATTTGCTTTCCCAATCCTCTTCGATGGAGAAGTGTCTTTGAGTCATTCTGTTAACCTTTTCCTCGCAGGAGGCCAGTTGTGAACACAACACTCTCACCTAAAATACAACAATACAACAGTACAACAATACGTTGACAACCAGATTTTAAAACATGTTAAAATCTTGAATAAAACCATGCAGTTAACTCTTTATGCATCCATTTATTTTCAGAGCTTCATTTTTCTTCACCGATGTCTAACATTGTTACTATTCTTGGTCATCGATGCCCTCTTGGAATTTCTCACTTACCAAACATCAGCTGACATTTAAGAATATATTAATATGGCTTCTCTGATTTGAACAAATACAAACCTGACAAATATCCCTGAGACCCTTCAAGATTCTAACATCCAAGAGCCTAAATTACATCATCAACATCCTCCAATGGTAAATGACCTGTATTTGATATAGCGCCTTCTAGAGTCCTGGAACCCCCCAAGGTGCTTTACAACACAATCAGTCATTCACCCATTCACACACACATTCACACACTGGTGGGGATGAGCTACAATGTAGCCACAGCTGCCCTGGGGCGCACTGACAGAGGCGAGGCTGCCGAGCACTGGCGCCACCAGTCCTTCCGACCACCACCAGCAGGCAACGTGGGTTAAATGTCTTGCCCAAGGACACAATGACAGCGACAGACTGAGCGGGGCTCGAACCTGCAACCTTCCGATTATGGGGCGAGACATTGTTCCCATGTGCTTATTACAAGCAAATTTCCAAAACAAAGATAAACCCTGAGAGCATAAGATAAATGTCATCACTGAATTTCCTACAGGGAAAATCTCCTCAGTGTTATCTTACCCGAGAGGAGAGAGCCCCATTTTCCTCAGCAAGCTCGTCTACTTTCCTCTCCATCAGTGCGGATGAACTCTTCAGCTCTTTATTCTCGATTAAAATTTCATCAAGACGCACTCGCAACCTAAGAGAAAATTAGACAAAATGTTTATTTTATTTTTGTAATTTAAAGGTTTAATAAAGGTGTTTAACTGCAAACTTGAGCTCTTACATATCATTCTTTGTTTCCAGCTCACTGATCTGCTCTCTGCTAGCATGCTCCTGATTAGCATTCTCTTCTTTAAGCTTCTCGTTTCGATATTGCAGCTGACTGATGAGGCCTTCTGGAAACAGTAATTATGAAACAAAGTTGTTTACAAGAGCAAATGAATCAAAATAGAAGAGAGATAGTAAAAAGTATCTGTTGCATAGGAAGATAAATGTGATACCCCTCTGTGCGACGAGTGTAAGCATGTTGGCTAGCTCCCTCTCCACAGTATCCTTGTACTCCCTCTCCTTGATCAGTGTTCTTTGCATTTGTCTCATCTGAAACTTGGGCGTATTCATTATATCAATCAAAGGAGACTGGCTGTGGAGATTAAAAAACAAAATCACCACATTAGCGTTATAAATGCATGTTGGCTTTGTTCCAAATCCACAAAAATACCTGACTGATGAGGAAGCCACGGTTTCCAGATCCACAAATGCAACTTTTGTAGAGCGACGAAAGATGGGCGACTCATCGGAGATGGAGAACGGGGAGGATGTCGACATATTGGAAGATGACGTGCTTTCCAGTGGCTTAGTGTATGGCAAACCTGAATTCACAGTCTGGGAGTTAAATGCTAACCAGGACCAGAGTCGCGGTGTATGTCGTAAATAGTTTGCCTCTTAAAGAGCAAGTCACCCCCAAATCAACTTTTGTTTGCAGATAAACTGTATAAATGAGTGTCTAATGGTGCTGCAGACATCTGTAGTCATTCATTTTGGCATTTTATTTAAAATATAAATATTCTGTCTGAAAATGTCTGTGTGATGCCCTCTTCAGGTTAAAAGTCTGCACAACATTTGCACTTCAAGCAGCCATTGCTATTTGCTAAGCAGTGCTGTGTGATGATAGCTAGTATGTGCAACGTCTGCTGCACTACAGTCTCAGCCACGCCTCCAGCCGGCTCTGCATCTGTTGCCTCTGGCAACTCATGAGCCGATGCTGCTCACCTCGTCCCTTTCTTCTGCCAGATCAGGACACTTGCTGCAGTTCCTTCATCTGAGCAGGCTGTATGCGTGTGTGCATTAGCAGCTCAATACAAAAAAAAAAAAAAAGAGAGAGAGAGAGAGAACCTCCCAGAGGAGTGAGGGTGCCGTTGGTATCACTGCCACAGTGCAACCCTGTCGGTCCACCAAACAGCGTACCCTTTTGGTGCATTTTTCAAACAGGAACCATGGGTGAGGTAAGACTATGGTGGGGGGCGACTTGTTCTTTAACATAATTAAGGATGCACTGATATTAAAATTTGGGCTGTTATTGATACCAGTAATGACACATGAACACACACTTATGAGATGATTTCCCATAGCAAACCGCCTTTTCTCCTGAAACAGACACCCAAATTAAACTACATGAAAATAAACATTGGCTGTCCCAGTTGAAGCTTATCATACAAGTACAGATGTTAATGCCGGTACATCCCACAGTATAAAGTATCTTTAACAAGGAAAACCAAAAAGGACAAATTTGTGACTCACGTTTTTTTACCAAATACTGGTCTAGATGATCAGAGAGATAAACCATGCCATCACTCTCCAACACAAATGAATCTGTGATGAATGCTAGCTGTTTCTAAGATAAAGGAAATAAATGAGCAATGTTAACGCACACATTTTAATATTTTTTATTAAAATTGTAATGTTTTACTTACTTCGACCTCACTGTCCAGCATGTTTAAAGTGAGGCGTTCAGACATCATATCGTGATACAGCAGCAAAATCAGCACCTAATGATTAAAACCAATTGTCAGAATGGGTTTTTTTGTGTTATTATTCCCATTCAAATATTAGTCTTAAACCTTTGAGATTTCCACATTGAGATTTCTTCCATTTTGTATGCTGTCCCAGGAAATTGTAGTTCCTTTGGATGGACAAAATCTGCAGTCTCCTAATGAAAGAAATTAAATAAACAATTGTTACATCTAATCAAAGGGTGAAAACCCCATCTTAAACCACTGATGTGGTGCAGGAGTGCAAACATCTAATGCCAAACCATAAAAATTTCAGCGAGCAGACAATAGCCACATTTTATTACATCTTATAGCAGTCCAATTAAAAAAACATTATTTTAATCTACGTATTATTTGTTTAGATAATTTTAAGAGACAAATCAATTGAGTTTAAGCTATTGGAATGAGAAGTAACAAAATCCCAAGAGTTAAACACACTGTGATAAAGAAAAAAGAAAAGCTTACGCTCCAAAAAAGTAGAGATTATATTAAATCTTTCTTCAACCGAATCACTGATGTTGTAGGTTGATTCCTTTTTCCTGTCAAACGAAAACAAACGTAACACTTCTATTAAACAACATGGAGAGCATATTAAATCAGTTATCAAAAAACCTTCTTGTTCACACAAACCAGACACAATCTTACTTACAGACGATAAACCAGTTTCAACAAGACCGTCCCATCCCTTAAACTGTCGATTTGTTGTTGTTCTTCTGACAGCTTCACGCTGTTCACCTAGAAAACATGTTTGAAGTTAAACCAATGAATAAAACCGTTGTTTTTAGTTAACTGGGGAGCACGGCGTTTAACAAACTCACCCAGTCTAGAAGGGCCTTCATACCCAAATAGGACATGTCGGCAAACCCAAGGGTTTCAACCTGCAAGTAAAAAGAACAACAATTATGCTAGCTACTAGCTAACATTATCACACGAACACACGAAAAGTCAACTTCGTTTGACACTAAAGAAGCTATTTGTACTTAGCACACGCTACTAGATAAATGGCGAATGGTTGGTAAAATGTTGCCTTTTTAATGTAGGCAGCAACTCACCGAAATTAAGAAGTAATTTTTCTACCTCGTCCGCCGTGTTTCGCTGTAATAAACTGTTTTGCTAAGGCAAATTTAAAAAAAGATTTGAAGATTGAATCAACCAATCATTTTACACGTATTTTTGCGCTTGAAAATAAACGATGGTGATTGGGTTAAAAGACGGAAGTTGGACAGACGTATGAATACGTACTTGATGTCTGCGTTACGCTACCAACGTATAGGTGTTGTGCTGAAAAAAGTATTTTTGAGGTAAAAAAGCGCATGTAAAATAAAATAAGGAATTTGATACGATTTTTAAGTCTTCCACTGCATCCGAAAATACGGAAACATATGTGGAGAGAACAGGAGAAAGCCTAAGCTGCCGAGACATGTAAGCTTCGGGGAAGGGGGGGGGGGGGGGTGGGGTCACTAACTCACCAATATATAACTCATCCATATAATACATTCTGAGGCCTTATTCACCAACGTTACTTTGCCCTTGTTAGCTTGGTTCATTTATACGAGATAAAGGGCGTACTCCTGATCGAAGACAACGTTTTTGGCAGAACACCGGGGCTTGTCACGTGACGTTCTTGGATTCAAAACAAACTAGAACAGAAAAGCGGGGCGGGGTGAAATTAACTATGACCCAAAATACAAAAAAAGATAAAACGTTGATTTTCATTTACTTAAATTTCACATAAATTTTTTAAATTGCAGAATCGTTTTTATGTTATATCTTTTGAATCAGTAAAGTTATATAGTGGCCAGAAAATATATTTTACCAGATTTCAGATACTGTCAGCATTGCTAAACTGCTCTAACAGTAATACATCACCTATTGAAGAGTTATTTGAAAGTACCGCAGCAATTTCCTAATGTTGTGATTTCTCACACATAGACAGACTGATACATCCCAGATGTATCATGGGAAAATAACGCTACCGTGGGTCATTCATCCACTCTGCAGTAAGAGTATATAACTCCTAAATCTAAGTGGTACTGGCATTATCCTGGTACACAATAATACCAATGCAATGTTCATTATGTGTCTATTCTATTCTGTTCTATTCTATTATATTTAAATAAGATTAATACATAAAATCAGCTATAATCAAACCTCTTCTAAATATTTCAACAGCGCGAAAGTTCAGTTACAGCTTATCGCCACTAGAATACTAGAATACTGTCGCTTCTAGCGTGTAATTTCAGGTTTTAGCCACTGCATGGCGCAAAATCCCCGTCCCCGCTTATCTTCAGACCCAGTAAGCAGTTCCTGCTTGTCGCCACTGGAGGGAGCGAATGCCTCTCCTCGTTCATATTAGGGCAATAAAAACTGAGTTTGTAGCTCGCTGAGTTTAGCATTTTGACTTCACACAACTATCGTGTCCAACACTGTTACATAGACACAGTTTTAACTGTGTTCTAAGCTAAATAAAAATTGAAAAAGCCTTTTGGAGAGAGAGTTTCCCGGTTGCTAATGCCAAAATGCCATGACATTTTATTTTGAAAGAATTTACAGGAAATGCACACATCTAATATTTGTACTGTGCCTCGGCCAGCCTGTCGACTGGCCTGACCACATCTCCCACAATGCATGTGTTCGTTTCCTTAGAAACGGATTGTTGGTACTCTGTTAGACTCAAAGGACAAGAAGCACTTTTTCCTGCATTATTGGTAAGTGAAATAAATTACTGTTACATTAATTTAGACTGATCAATAAATATAATAAAAAAATAAATAGCAACTAACTGATGTAATAAAAGTAAACGTGCTATTGCATCAATGAAAAACTTTTTTTTTTTGCATGACTGCAGGTTGACTCTTTCCCTGGTGACACTATGAACGGAGCACCAGTGGATTTATCCTTCAAAAATATCAGCAAACTGACTGGTGATATTTTCTATTAAAACATTCTAATTGCTGTGTACTGTCTCATTATTATGATTTTGTACTACACATTTGAGGGCAGAGAAACATTGTGATTTTGGACTCTAAGGTGTGTGAAACGATTGTAAGACTAAGTGATTCCACCTTTAATAAAAATGCTGTTTCAGATGCTCTCATGGAGGAGCCTAAGAGCAGCCTGCGGCCTTTAAAAAGAAATGCAGAGGGGAAATACATCAGCTGTTCCCTGCGCCTCAGTAATAATTCCATCACTGACCTGTGTGACCTCCAGAAGACTGTTAGCCACTTCCTGGCTGAACCCTCACACCTTGCCTGGCTCGACCTTTCCTTCAACCAAATCTCACATATAGACCAGGTGAGTTTTTAAGTGGCTGTGTCTGCATATATGCTGTATGCATTTACTTCTGATTTTAGACTATCGGATGAATAGCTTGTGTGTAAATATTCTGCAGGCTTTGTGCAAGATGCATGAACTCCGTGTGTTATACCTTCATGGAAACAACATTTACTCTCTGTCAGAGCTGGACAGGCTGGGAGCCCTGCCACATCTTCACTCTATAACTCTGCAAGGAAATCCAGTAGAGACAAATAAAACTTACAGGTAGGGAAGGTTTTCCACTTAATATGGCAAATTTAAACCAGTGCAAACACATTCTGCAGTGATGTAGTGCATTATTAAATTAAAATGGTGGGGATTTTAACCTATTGTTTGTAGTTCTTCATAAATACTTAAATTTAAAAAATACTAATAAATTGATGCTGCTTTCCTACTAATTCATGGCAATAATGTATCAAATGTACAAATAAAATCTTTATACTGTTTGCAGCTGAAAACCTAATCAGACAGTGTTGTTTTTATTTAGTTATTTTTCATCCAATGCATGAAAATAAAAACATAGTGTATTTTTCTGCACAGGAATCGTGTGATTTCAGCTCTGCCTCAGTTAAAGACGGTGGACTTCAGCGCCGTCACACAGCAGGAGCGAGTCCTGGCAAAGCTGTGGCATCAAGGAAACAGCCGTAGCAAACGCAGTGAAAAGAGAGTCTAGTCGATGTTCTCGGTCATTTCTTGCAAAATTTGAAAAGGAAAAAAAAGGTATTTTTATAAAGATTAAAACTGCCTCTTTATTTGCATTTTGATCAAGAAGGAAATTCTAAATTTGCAGATGTTTTGTCACATTTAATTCTGGACTCATTTTAAAGCCAAGTTACACAAACTGAAACCTACCCGACTAGGATACCGTTGTTAAATAAAAACGTGCTGCTACCAGCATCAACACCACTAAATGACTCAGACATGATCATGTCAAAGTCAGCGTCACTTTAAAAGAAGACATCCGTGTTTACTGAATGTTTTTAATGAACTGATTTAACCAAAAACAAACAAAACTTTATAACTTTTTGGTACAAGCCTAAGATATTACAAACAGTCTTCCATTGTTAACAGAAAAAGATGCCTAAATATATCTCCCCCGCCTCCTGGATCAGTTGTGTGGTATGAATAATCGCAGCCTTTTGCAGAGCATCCCTTTAGCAGTTCCACATCAGCTCACAGCGCTTGCCTCCAGAGAGACAGCAGACATTTATAAAACCAGAAATATAAACAATCAGGAAAAAGTCTGGGATTGAATCCGTCTAGGGCACCTAGTTTATCATGTCACGCTCATGGCCACGCTGCTACGTCAAGCTTCAGATTAATGCAGTTGATTAAGGATCATAGCTGAATATCCAAAAGTCATGGCTGTTTCATTTAAAAAGTCCTATTTCAATTAACCTTCAATAAAGAGCACTTCACACAATCCTTAAACTGTTAATAAAGTTGATCAAAAATTCTATACAAAGGCAGGAATACACAACGTACATCCCTGCATCCTCCACACCCGTCTCCACGTCTGAGGTCAAACATCTCTGTAAACTCAAGGCTCCAGGGAGGCCTAAAGGATTCCTGGTGACATCCTGGAAGCCGTCCTGCAGCCACCACTCTCCCCTCCGTGTGTGTTCTCACACACCAGAGATCAACCGTTAACGGCTCACTCATGGTGTGGATTCGGTTTGAAATGGTTAAATTGATGTTACCTGTTCAGATTTAAACATAACTACAGCCAGGCTGATGTGATGGCTGTTGATGCTGATCCCAGATTAGAAGAGACTCAGCTACAACCTGCTAAATTATAGCGACCTCTTAAGTTGTGGTGGACAAAATGAACACAATTAAAGTTGAACCTGTGAGGTTTCAGTGAATAAACCACGAGTCGAGTTTCTCACTGTGGCTCTGTTACAGGTGATTCTGCCATGGTGTGAAGTTAAACCTTGAGGTTGAACAGAAAGGCCGTGAAAATCCTATTTATTAAAAAATCAAAGAGGAATAAATCTTTTCAATTTTTCCCACGCCTAGCTTAACTGAGCCATGATTCACACACAGTGGTGTTCTTGATGAAGAATACAACCATGTCCATCCTCGGTTTCTCAAATGATGACTGACAAGCACCAGTGTCCTTTAATAATTTCACTTAAGTACAGAGTGAAATTATGCACAGTCAGTCTTTAAGAGTCACATCTAACAAGGATCAATAGCTTTTAATAAAACGTGGGCTGAAGGATGATGACGCTGGAGTGACTGACAGAGTGAGTGAGTGACAGAAGGGAGAGAGAGAAGGATGGGAGCAACGATATGCAGGTTCAGAGTCTCAGAATCAGGGAATGGCAAACTGGACCACCAGTTCCTCTTTAGCATCCACTTTGATTTGAGAGATTGCACTGTAAGCATAAGCCGCTATCTTAGACACCTGCGAAGGAGAAAGAACAGTTACTGTTGGTGTGCTAAAGATTTCATCATGTTAAGAATGTGATCTGTGTGTGATTTACCTGCTGAACATCTGAATATGGCACCAGGTCACTTGCAAGAACTTGGTGGGGCTGGCTAGTTAGAGAGGGAAGAGTGTCTGCTTTCTTTGGGGGCAGGTTGGTGCTCAACACAGCCAACTTTGAACTATAAAAAAACCCAATCAAAAACAAACTTGCAATTAATTTGAGTTAAAATGACTCAAAAACAAATGTTTTCCATGAACTGAACGGCTGTTTATTCACAAGTACGTTTTTAGATGCAATATAATTAGATGCCCACTAGAGGTCACTAAAAAGGAGGAGGCAAGGCCGGCCTTATTGTAATTTTGAGGTCTGGTGTTGAAATTCCTTATTTCATGTCAGCAGTTTTCTTCTTCCCCAGCTGTATGGCCTCCAAAAAGACAGTTTTACGTTGTTCATTTCCTGAATGACTTTAATAAAACATTTTTAATTAAAGCCCAAATAAACTTCAGATTCAGTCTCATCAACAACTCTTTCAGGTCAACTAGTTCCAGAAGAATAAAAGTAGAACCTCCCATCAAAAATAAAGTATCAGTCTATAACAAACATCTACTCGTCTACATGCCTGTATTGTCTAGCTTTGTCCATGTATTCACGCTGCTCCATAACCACTGATTCCGTTGCAGAGACATCAATGATATTCCTGGAAGACAAGAAAAACAACGTTAGTTATATTATGATTATTCTCTATTCCAACACTCTTAACGGATGCTGTAGTACGATGCAGTCACACATCATCGGTTATAGTCCCAACATCCGTGTAGTGCTGCACTAGTAACCTGGAGGTGCATGACTAATACCTTCTAGTTCAATTACACAAATGTTATTTCACATGATCTAAAAGTCATTGATAAAGTTTCTTTGGATGGTAAATATGTTGTGTTTAGACTCATCAGTGGAAGCGTCTTACTGTGCGGCCTTCGTGAGGATGGATGTAAGGATAGCCTGCTCAGTTGCCTGTGCAGAGGGAACACTGGGAGTGATCCAGTCGGTCCCATTTGGAGGTTTGTTGACAGGGTTCGGATGGGGTATTAGTGACTCCGTTTCACTGTTCTTCTAGAGCAGAGTTGGAATAAAATAGAAATAATGTGATCAGGTAGTTTTAGCAAATTATACGTTTAATAAAACAAACAAGAGACTATGAGATTAAACGATTAGTTATTAGATATGTTTTCTGGGGAGAAGGAGTAAACGTTACACAAAATATATGTAGAAGAAGAATTAATCAAAGTTTGTTTAAAACAACTTTCATGCATTATACAAATGTCCGTCCAACTTCTTTACGATTACATGTTATAAACAATGACAGAAATGTATAAAGGTGGGGGACACTCATTTAATAAGTAGATTTACAGTGGTGTCTAATAGGAATGAATGCCTTGCAAGTTGTACTCTGGAGGAAAAAAAGCTCCAGTGCACCTGTTTCAGGAACTAGAATATTGTCACATTAGAGGAGAACTTCAAATGACAGGAGCTATACTCTTACGTCCTGATATTTGGAAACCTTGTCTCAGATAACACAAGCCTGATAGAGTTCTGCCATGTGGTAGAGTTGCTAATGCTAATAGTAATGGTTAGCTTCTACTAGCCGAGACACACTGTTGTTTCCTGGATGATAGACCAACAACAGCCTTCCCTGTGAGTCATGATGGGTGAGTCCATGAATGTTAAGTGACAGTGTGACGTAAATCTGTCAGGATTTTCTAATCCTAGCGTTTCATCGTCTGTCTTCTATCAGAAGCTAATGCTGGAGATAGGTGTAGGAGACTATGTTCATGTTCTGCCTGAATAAAAAACTCAAGAGTGGTCAGTTATAATCAGAAATGATCATTAAAAGGTTTTTCAGTGTTCCAGACCTTTAATTTTCCTTTGTTCAGAAACAGAGAGCTGATTATATACAATCTTAAATATATCAAAGTCATTCTGCCTTAAAATTTACATTTATCTGAAACTGTAAAGAAAAATGTATATTTTCAGACTAACATAGGTTAAATAGACTGGTTGTACCCAGGTTGTACCCTAACCCTAAGATGAAATGTATTAATCTACTTAAAGAGAAACTGATTATGAGGAAGGATGAAGACAAACTGGTTTATTTCCCTAAACTAAAATAAAACTGGGATATTTACAGCAGCCATATGACACCACGCACATCCACATGATGTTCAGTTATTTAGCTCCTTGACACACGGGTCACAATTGATTATTTAGCCAATAAGTAGAGAAGAAATCAGTCTATTCCTGATTAGCAGGACCTTTGGGAGGCTATAAATCCTCATGCCCCACTAAACAGGACAATAGCAGAAAATGATGTGCTCGCAGCTTTACTAAACACTTGATTTTTGCCCTCAGGACAGTTTATTCTGAACTGTTTCTGACCTGCGCTAACTCAAAGGGCTGCCTTTAGCCCAGGCCTTAGCAAGCTGACGCTTCCTGTTTAATGTTACGGACAACAAACGAGTTATGTGTGAACATGAAATGGCTCATTCACTAAACACTGTCAAGACACCTAGCCAGCAGAACTTATTTAGTGTTTGAATAAACGAATGAAGTTAACTGTTTTAGCTTTAGCCGCCAGCTAGCTAGCTACCTACCTCCCTGGAGTTGTCGTCCTCGCCACTGTAACAGCAACCCATGGCAACGTCCAAGGCTGAAACTAAACTACCCCGGCTTCCCTGCGCTCCTTCAGAAACGAGCAGAGCTCTTCTTCCCCTGCAAACATAAAGCTTTGTTTGTTTCTTACTGTTGTTACTACGGCCCCATACAAAAGTAGGAATCTACTGTCCACAGCAGCTTCTGAGTGAGGCTATCACATGACAGCAGCTGTGGTGCAACAACAACACAACAACTACTTCCGGTATTTGAGAAGCAGCGACGTCCCAGGACACGTGAGGGCAGAAATGTTGAACGTTCTTATCAGAAACCTCGGCAGAACTAAAAATGGTGACTGATAATTAAAAAAAGCATAAATGTTCCAGTCATAGGGGCTCCCAAAACAGGATTTGCTTTTTTCAATAACTTTATTGAACAAAGTTCATTTACAAAATAAGAGAACAAATGAAATACAAGCAGAATACAGCATTTTGCGTTTTTGCCACAGTTAAATGTTTCATGTTAGCAAAAAATAAATAAATACGGGGAGAAAATAACCCAAGTAAATAAAAGTCTGTTTTCAAATGATGGGAAAAAGTCTATATCCAAATCAGTCCAGGGGAAAAATTACTCCCTAAAATTATAGTTGTAAAACTTTGTGAGACATCAAGAGCATGCAAGCATTTCCAATAACTGCACATAAGTCTCTCACATTGGTGTGGAGAAGTTTAAGTCTACAATTCATTTTAAATGTTTTTGGCATGTTTAAATTAAAAGTTCAGACATTCTCCATGGGCCAGGTACCGTTTGTATGATGATCTTTTTCTGAAACTCACTGTTAGTTTCCCACAAGATGAGTCACAAATCTTACAAAACGTTTCACTTTTGTCTCAACGGTCCACAAAATGTTCATCCATCCTTTTGTTAAACCAGATTATCCATGCAGGCATCTATAGGCAGAGACTCAAACCCAGACCAAGGGCAAATGGGAATCTGATTTTTTTTTATAGGACATTGGTTTGTGTAAGTTGGACAGAGTTAGAAAATAAAGCAAGTCAGCACAGGTACTGTTCTACTGGGAACCTTTGCTCCTTCCTTTTATGTGGATGCAGTTTTAACATTTACAACCTTCATGGGAGTTGTTGCATCTCCTTTTTCTCTCATGCCAGCAGCTGTTTCAGATGGGAAATGTGCCACTAAAGTTCAAGAATAACTGTTTTTTAGCTTTAAAATGTTGTTTTAGAGAAGGGTATCCATGTTAAATAACTGATTATTGTGTAAGATAATGAGATTGCCTCTTTCCTTTTTGTCAATCTAAAAACATCAAGTGTTTGATCAAAACTTTTCCCAAGCTTGCTGTGCAGGATGAACAAGAGACAGAAACAGGATGAGGCATGTTGGTGAACAAGTGGCAGCTTCTCTGAGAAAGATGAAAGGGTCTCAGATGCCTTTGACTGAGTGCATAATAAAAACAGTGTAACAAACCAGTTCCAGTTTATTTCAGTCAATGTTTTCAGATGACAGCACAACTCATCAAAAATTTTGGTTTTCCTATTTTTCAAATAATGCATCAATTTAAATGCAAGCACATTTACAGCTTTGCATTTAACTTTGTGTTTCAACAGTTTAAATTTTAAATAACTTTAAGTTGTTTTTGTTGTCAGTGTTTGATTTACAATATTTTAAATTCTTTAAGGGCAAAAAACAGCACATTAATGAGTGATAGTTTCAAAAGCTGTCAAATTAATCTGCGTTTATTTAGAAACAACTATTTATACAATCGTTTTATACAGTAGTTTATACATTATGTTCAGGATACATGCATAAGAAACTATAAGCAAAGCAATAAACACACAAAAATCTGAGCTAACGACTTTAAAGAAGAAACTGAAAAATTGGCGCGTGGTGATTGGAATCGGCAGATCTTTAAACATATCTGGCTTGTGGAGGACTGGCCAAACTGAAACTTAAAAGTCTGCTTTGTTTGTTTTTCTTTTTTGTTTCAGGTTCATGAACGCATCACTGCAAGCATTAAAAAGATATGACATTTTCCCTTCTGAACTCCCCTACTCTACAGATTAAGATTCATAAACTAAAGTTTTCCTAAACTGTTGTTATTTGTGAGAAACATGAGCCCAAAGTTGGTTCTGGCAGGTCAGAGCCGAGCAAGAGTCTAAAATCATAATCGAGTCATCTCAGATTGAGCTCCTCTGGTGATGTCAGAAGCAGCCTGATGGGTGGGATGGACTGGGAGGCGCCCTCTCCATAACCCTACCCTAAACAGGGAAGATCTGCTCTGAAGACTTCACCAGGAACAAGAACAATGTCTGTTTATCTGCTCAGCTTTGTCCTGCTCTCCAGACTGTCTCGCGCATTCGATGCAGTGGCTCCCGTCCACTTCGGACCCCCTTCCCTCGGATTCAGCTCCTCTGTCCGCTCGGTGTGTAAGCCCATCCCGGTCACCCTGTCTCTGTGTGACGGAATCGGCTACAGACGCATGTGGATCCCCAACCTACTAGGCCACGATACTCCTAAAGAGGTCCAGCAGCAGTCGGCGGCCTGGCTGCCGCTGGTCTCCAAGCTGTGCCACCGGGACACCAGGAAGTTCCTGTGCTCGCTGTTCGCCCCGGTGTGTCTCCCGGAGCTCAGCGGGCCCGTCAGCCCCTGCAGGAGCCTGTGCGAAGCCGTGCGGGACGGATGCGTGCCAGTGATGAGCGCGTTCGGGTTCCCCTGGCCCGAGATGTTTAACTGTAGCCGGTTCCCCAGCGGAACCGAGCTCTGCATCCCAGCGACCGATCACCAGGCTGGGCAAACGGAGGAGGAGGTCAGGCATGAGGAGGAGCTGAGAGGTCTGTGGATACCCAAATACTACTGTAAACACTAACCTGATGAGGAAGCAACATTTTAAAATAAAAACTATCAGAGATTCGCCGATTCTGGTTTTCAGAGCCGATACCGATCACGTTGATGTTGGAAATAAAAAAATAACAGATCTGTTATTGCTAAATGGTGTTCATATAATTCTGTTTTATCCTGCTTGACAATTGTGCTTTCATGGACCCAAAAATAGAGAAAACATTTTTAAATGTAGCCTATATTTATTTAGTTATTTCTATTAAAAGTAGCTGATGTTTGATTTAGCTGGTCATGCTGAATATTGGCTGATTCTGATCACCTGCTGATTTCTTGGGGTGCTTCAATAATATTAATGACAATAAGAGGAATTCCCCAAACTCCACCCCTCAATTAAGGATCATTGAAATGTCTTTTTAAAGGACAAAAGGAGTTAGCTCAGCAGGGGATGGGAGATTTTCACATTCACAGGTTTAATCTAAGGGTAGTCAGAAGGCCCAAAATACCTGAAACACAATCCGTCCTCATGATAACACATTGCATTCATTTTAATGCTCCAGCAGATCTTTAAAGTAATTTCTTGAGTCGTTTTCACCTTTGAGTGACACATTTATTTGTCGTCGTCGTCGTCATCGTCTTCCTCCGCTTATCCGGGTCCGGGTATTTGTGCAGTATTTATTTATCTTTATGCTGGAATGAAATTACCTTCTGACAATCTGATATGTTATTATTACTGATTGATTGAATTATTGCTCAGTTTCATTTATCGTGATTTAAGAATGTTGAAATCAGATTTCTTTTCTGTGCCCAGGGAGTGTTATATGTGATGCCTGTAGTCTGGCTGCTGAAGGAGAGTCTGACATCCAGGAAAACTTCTGTGGCAGTCCATATGGTGAGAATAAAAGCATCTTCTTTTTACTTTTAAGAAATGGTGTCAGTCAATTTGTTTTGGTAAGATTTATGAAAATGAGATATTTGCACAAACTAGACGTGTGTGTGTGTGTGTGTGTGATGATTTTATCTTATGAGAAAACAACAATAACAATAATATTAATAATATTAACTGTCACAGCCTTGAAGATGCGTCTGGGCAGCGTGTCAAGAGTGGGAGTTGACCTTCAGCTGGTCCCTTTGGCCCAGAGTCGCATCCTGAGGTGGGAGGGGGGAGGTGCAGAGAGGGCAGAGGGGGTTGGAGGAGCAATGGGTTTCAAGGCTCTGTGGCTGCAAGAAGGAGGCAGCTGTACCTGTCCTGGTTTAGACTCTTCAGCGTCGAGTAAAGACAAGGAGGTAGGAGAGGTGCAGAAGAATAAAAAACAGGGTAAGGTGAGGAACAAAGCCTCCAGCAGATGGTATCTGGCTCTGGCTCAGGCCGAAGAAGGAAGACTCGTGCTGACTCGACTGGTGAGGTGGAGCCGAGGGGACAAAGAGCTGAAAAAGTTTACCAAAGCTCTTCTGAAACAAACCTGTCCAGAGCTTTAAACACCAAGTTATTGGTCTTCTGGGTCTTTTCTAACGGAGAACTGCAACTTTCTGCACTGCAAATCCCAACATGTCAAACAAAATCATGCAGAAAGTTTCAGTTCAGTCTTAAAGCAGCAAACACAAAGAAACTTGTTCTGCGTTTGCAGTTTTCACATCATTCTGGTGCTGTTAGATAAGTGGTGATGATGAAACACCTTCCTGTTAAAAATAATTACTGCTGCGTCTGCAGCAGACACGTAGGAAACAAATGTTTTTTTTTTTGACTGAATAAAATAAATCTGTATTTTTATTAAAGTTTCCAAAGGTTCAGACTGATGTGACTGATTCATATTTGCAGTAAATGGCTGAGCTGTCCTGAAATCATCAGTTATTTTCTCATTCTTCCTATTTTTTTGTATTTTGTACGAACGTCTCTGGAACAGAACAACTGCATTTACAATAAACTGACAAGATTTCATAATAATCTATGTTTTATTTAAATGCACCAAACATCCTTCGTTTTTAAATGTGTGTGTATCCAAACAAACATTTTTTGCAGAGTGAGTGTGTGTGTGTGTTCACTAATGATCTAGGAAATTAGTGTTTTGTCTTTTTCTTTGATCTTTCCTTCATGATTCAGTAAAGACAGAAACTGGACTCCATAGAAACACCTGTTGATGCTAACTTGATACGTCGGTTTCATTCTGCCTCCCTCCAACTCGACGAGTGTGTGTGTGTGTGTCACTTCACACCATAATCTGAAAATTTGAACACACTGGTTTTACTTATCTCATTGAACATTAGATCGGATCTATTTTCAGTTGATCTTGCTGATTAACTGGCAATTATGACTAGATTTATGTTGCTGTTCAGGTGATGCATGAATTATTCAGACTCGTCTCTGACCTCCTCCCGAACACACACACACACACTCGTCTCTTTATGTTTCTGCACCTGTCTCAGATACATCGTCTCTTTTCTGTTCTAGTGTTGCTAGAAAACAGGTGAGTGTCTTGTCTTATTTTGTAACAATTATTGAGTGTGGGAGCAGAAGACTCGCAGAGTCAGTTTACCCGTGAGAGAGGAAACATCTAACAAGGAGAATTTTATTTCACGTTCCTTCAAGGACATGTGTAAATAAGTGAAGTGTGTGTAAAAGTACAAGAGCTGTAAAAATGTTATTTGCAGGAAAAATCCAAAAGATTTCAGCTGTTTCCTGACAAATTTAAGTGTTTATGAGATCACAGAATAATAAATTACAGTGATAATTTGGCAAATAGTATGGAAGCCTAGAGATGCCACCCACGCGCAATAAAATTAGAGCAATATCACATTAAAACAGAACTTTGTTGTTCCAACAACATAACTCACATTTGCACAATGTGTTATCATGTTTGTACAACACAAATATTATATTGTAAGAAAGATAACATATTGGAAGAATGTGACAATTATATTAATAAAGTTACGATATATAACATGATATTCCAATTTTATTTTGCGTGGGTGGCAGCTCTACTTTGCCTTAAAATAGCCTTTAAAATAACTCTATCATTTGCATGGATCAGCTTATAATTCATGTTCTTTTATATTTTAAATGTAGTTTTATTCATAGTTAATTGAATTATCCAAATGTTCTGCCCCTGAAATAAAAAGTACGCGAGACTAGGTAATTATGTGCTAAGTCGCTAAAGTAAAGTGCATTTGCCTGACAGTTACTATAATGAAACATACTATGACTGTACCTAAATTTTGCCGCCGATTTAGTACATACAACTTATAATAATAGTTCAGTAAGTACATTTCTAAGTACTTTGTACTGTCTTTAGGTTAAAGTAACTTGTATTTAAATGTATTTTAATTTGTAAGTATCAGTAGCTCTGACACATAATCACCTTGTCCCGTGTCCTTATTTAAGCAATCAGTTTGCGTGCTTTTTCAAGTAAGCAGAACTAATCAGGTTTTATAGTGTGGTAGCCATCTTTGTTACGTTTTAGGATCATCTATGGAATAAGTGCCGATAACTACTGTAATACTATGTTTATGTCACTGCCAGGATGGTGTCACCTGCTATTGCTCTGGCCTTCCTTCCCCTTGTGCTGACACTGATTATCAGGTACCGCCACTACTTTGTGCTGTTCTATCGGGCGGTTCTGGTCAGGATTTGGAAGGACTGTGCCACCGGTTTGAGCCGGGAAGAGCGCGTCTACCAGTATGTTCTCACACACTCGACCCCTGGAGACCCCGACAGCATCCTAGAGGCTTTTGACTTCTGGTGTAGCAAGGTGGAGTACATCAGCAACATCGGGCCTAAAAAGGGTACAAATACTCAAGAGCAGTTTGGTGCAGAGCTGATAAGAGAATCAGAATTTTTGAATTAATATTGAACATTTCTGTATTTTTTTAGGGAAGATCCTGGACCGGCTGCTGATGGAGCAGAGCCCTCTGACAGTGTTGGAGCTTGGCTCTCATTGTGGATACAGCACCATCCGAATCGCCCGGGCTCTGCCACTGGGCGCCAGGCTCTACAGCATTGAGATGGATCAGAGGAATGCTGCCATTGCTGAAAAAATCATCCGCCTGGCGGGGTTTGATGATGACACGGTGAGACGGCAAGAAACAGATCTTTACTTTGTGTTCAATAAACTTCATCTGTTTATCTCCAGGTGGAGCTCATTGTGAAGCCGTCTGATGAAGTGATCCCTCAGATGAGGTCCAACTACGGTCTGGAGAGGTTGGATTTTGTCTTCATGGATCACTGGAAGAAATGCTACCTGCCTGACCTGCAGGTAAGTCACAAGACCAATACATATTGTACCTTTAAGTGTTGCAAAATTTGCTAAAACGGTTAGATGTTTTAGTACATTATTCACCATTTACATGATGTATCTGTACATTACAGTTGCTGGAGGAGTGTGGTCTGCTGGGAAAAGGATCTATGATCCTAGCTGACAACGTGTTGTTTCCAGGGGCTCCAAAATTTCTTCGATACCTTCGCAAGTGCGGCCTGTACGAGTGGAAGATCCATCGAGCTACATTAGAGTACAGCAGAGGCATCAGGGACGGGATGGCTGAATTGGTGTACCAGGGAATTAAGTAGAATTGACATGTTTCGAGTGCAGTAAAGGATCATTTTTTTACACAATGTCCAAAAGTTTTTTAAGCCACATTAAAAAAAGTGAAAATTCTCCCCTGAAAACTGTATTCGACTTGAAAATGTAAAATTTTTGCATCAAGTTTGAAGCAGTGAAGGAAGAGAAGATATTTGGGGAACATTTCTGACCGTGAAACAGGGAAACTACAAGCTCTGTGGCTTCACTTAATTTAAAGAAGAAAAAAAATCACCAGAAACCTTGAAATTGTGTATTTACAAAGTTGGTATAAAAAATGTTGGGGTTTTTTCTGAAATCTTGTCACCATCTTGTCAAAGTAACACACCGAATGCAAAAATATAGTTCAATATAGATTACACACCCAATCACTAGGGATGCAACGATACCACTTTTTTTCAAACCGATACGATACTGATACTTTGATCTGAGTACTCGCCGATACCGATACTTCTACCACACAAAAAAATGCAATTGGAATACAGATTTTATTTTCTTCTCTGTTTTCAACAGGAAAAGACTGTGAGGTAGATAAAAAGTAAAATATGAATAGAAATAATCACAAAACTAAAATATTAGGTCAACAGAAATGACAAGTTACGGTGAAGCCATTTTCAAGCAACTGCATTGGTATCGGTGCATCCCTACCAATCACACATAAAAATGGTAAGAAAACTTTTTTTAAATGCCAGACATTCCCTCTCTAAGGTTTTCTGGCATCCTATAACGTAAACAGAATGAATGGTGGATTCTAACTGCACTTTTTATTAAAACTGAGTCAAAACAAGCCTTTATCAGTTTCACACATTCATTCCCTTTAAGTCAACATACATTCAGCTTACAAACAGTCACACTGCATTTTAATTTTTCATTATAAGAAAAATAAACATTTCCAAGAAAAAAAAACAAGGCGTAGTCAGAATGATTTGTCTCAAACCTGCAACTGATTCTGTATAATTTCCAATATTGTACCATAAAGTTATAAATACCAACTAAGCTCTGTGTTTCTGTACATTAGTAAAAAATGAGTTTGCTGACTGAACCTGGTTGTAGTCAGGCTGCTGCTTGGATGCGTTTAGTTGAAGCACATGACAGAAGAAGTGACAAGGCCAAAGTTTAAAGGAGAGCTCAGTTGGACGTGCTCAGCAATCCTTCTACAAAATTATAGCGTTGCATATATGGGTCTATTTTAGAGCAGCAGACAGCACTCTTATCTAACGTTTAAACGTAGCAGGAGTTACCATAAAAACAGGACAAGTGGCATTATCTTCACGCACATCACTCACACTAATAAATAACAGGTAGAAACATTCACAGCAGGGTCTAATAAGGTATTTCAAGTCTGATGAGTTACAGCTTGATGGTAGTCAAAAGTGCCAACCTCCTCCTGAAGTATCTTGTGGTGATCCAAATAGATCTTTATGCCAAAAACACAAAAAATAAACCTATCTGCATCACATGGTGGGGGGAAAGCAGCAGCTGGAGTAGAAGTTCAAGGGTGGATGGTTTGTTTGGGACTAAAATCATCCTGAGTCTTAAATCATCCACTGGTCTTGATCTTGGTCTGTTCCTTCCATGTCCACCTGAACAGGAGTAACACAGTAATTAGTTCAAATTCAAAAATCTCGTCTCGTCTTCCTCCGCTTATCCGGGTCCGGGTCGCGGGGGCAGCATCCCAACTAGGGAGCTCCAGGCCGTCCTCTCCCCGGCCTTGTCCACCAGCTCCTCCGGCAGGACCCCAAGGCGTTCCCGGACCAGATTGGAGATGTAACCTCTCCACCGTGTCCTGGGTCGACCCGGGGGCCTTCTGCCGGCAGGACATGCCCGAAACACCTCCCCGGGGAGGCGTCCAGGAGGCATCCTGACCAGATGCCCAAACCACCTCAACTGGCTCCTTTCGATCCGGAGGAGCAGCGGTTCTACTCCGAGTCCCTCCCGAATGTCCGAGCTCCTCACCCTATCTCTAAGGCTGAGCCCGGCCACCCTACGGAGGAAACTCATTTCGGCCGCTTGTATCCGCGATCTCGTTCTTTCGGTCATTACCCAAAGCTCATGACCATAGGTGAGGATTGGGACGTAGATCGACCGGTAAATCGAGAGCCTGGCTTTCTGGCTCAGCTCCCTCTTCCCCACGACAGATCGGCTCAGCGTCCGCATCACTGCAGACGCCGAACCAATCCGCCTGTCGATCTCCCGATCCCTCCTACCCTCACTCGTGAACAAGACCCCGAGATACTTAAACTCCTCCACTTGAGGTAGGACCTCTCCCCCGACCCGGAGGTGGCAAGCCACCCTTTTCCGGTCGAGAACCATGGTCTCAGATTTGGAGGTGCTGATCCTCATCCCAGCCGCTTCACATTCGGCCGCGAACCTACCCAGCAAGAGCTGAAGGTCAGAGCTGGATGAAGCTAGGAGGACCACATCATCCGCAAAAAGCAGAGACGAGATTCTCCTGCCACCAAACTCGACACACTCCACACCACGGCTGCGTCTAGAAATTCTGTCCATAAAAGTGATGAACAGAACCGGTGACAAAGGGCAGCCCTGGCGGAGTCCAACCCTCACTGGGAACAGGTCCGACTTACTACCGGCTATGCGGACCAAACTCACGCTCCTCTGGTAAAGGGACTGAATGGCCCTTAACAGAAAGCCACCCACCCCATACTCTTGGAGCGTCCCCCACAGGGTGCCCCTGGGGACACGGTCATAAGCCTTCTCCAAATCCACAAAACACATGTGGATTGGTTGGGCAAACTCCCATGCCCCCTCCATCACCCTTGCAAGGGTATAGAGCTGGTCCACAGTTCCACGGCCAGGACGAAAACCACATTGCTCCTCCTCTATCTGAGATTCAACTATCGATCGGACCCTCCTCTCCAGTACCTTGGAGTAGACCTTTCCTTTATTAATCCCAGAGGGAAATTAGAGTTTCAGTACACACAATTCTGAGATAGACACATGACAAGAATTGGTGACTGTGGTCATTCGCAACCCGAGTTGCGCTACCTTAATAGATCAAGAGGGTTTATATGAGGAAAGAGTCAGGGGGAGGGGGAAAGGGCACTTCAGAGTTACCCTCAACAGAGAGGGTAGCTTTGCTATGCAAGAAAACACCTCAGACAGAAATGCACACAGACTTCTGACATTACACAACATAAGTGTCCACTAGGTGGGGAGGTAGGGTTGGGACTCTCCTCACTTCAGTGCGTGCAGCCGCATGGAGCAGCACTCATCACCTCTGTTTGGACTGGGGAGGGAGATAATGGGTTAGAGGGCGCATTGACTCCTAGATATGGTTCCACGGCCTTCACCGGTCACAGTCCCGCCCAGGCTGGGATAGGGAGAAAGAGTTTCCATAGCGACGGCAGCATTCCACATTTCTTCTGAGAGGGAAGTTTTCACTTCAGCCTCACAGGCTCAAGGGCACCAGATTCAGATAAGAATTGCTTTGGGGACAGGCAGAGATAATTTCCTCTCTGCCTTAGAGTTCTGTTGGTCTTCAACCTCTCTAGATCCAGCAATGGCATAATTAATCTATCCCAATCCGTGCTGATCCATCAACTCTCTTCTTGATGGAATCCACCTTCTGTGCCAGAGCCTGAATCTAACGACGAATATCCAAACATCTTCAGAATCCTCTACAGACAGTTGAGAGAGGCAGACCATGTTCCACTGTTTCCAGGAGTCCATGATATGCCCAGCTGGTTCTGTCCCAGAGGGGCATCCGGGAGCCCCTTCTCCCGTTCTCATCTTTGAAAAAATGTTGTCAATCGTGTTGAGAGACCAACTGACCAGATCTATTTTTAATCATTTCAAATTCCAAAAAAAAAAAATGCAGAAAGCGCCGTGCACACAAGACAGGACAAAGAGCTTGGGATAAGGAGGGAGGAAGAGGAGAAAAAAAGCGTCTGTACTCTCCAAGAGCCAGAAGAAAGGTTACAATTATATTAAAAGTCCTATTAGCCAATTACGATATTGTTGTTAAATCATGTGCTTGAGAAGAATAACTGAAAGCACCTCATTGATCTCGCCGTCATCAGGCGATTCGTTGTAGTCGTTCATCTCATCCATGTCCTGCATGTCTTCCTCATCTTCTGAGTCTTCTTCGCTGTCCTCCTCATCCTCATCGTCTTCTTCTTCCTCCTCTTCATAGCCTGCCTGCACTCAGCAAAAACAGATGGCACATTTATATATAGGGCCCATCACGCAAGAATGTCACGATTTCAATTAGTTATTCGAATTTTAACCTCAAATATTGGCTTTCCAATGGGCATTAGGTTGTTGTCTTTCTCAGCAATGCTCTGCAGCTAAAGCAGACAAGAGCGTTATTAAAATCGGAGTTTTAGGAAGGGAACAGATGACGTGCAGGAGCCGAGCTCGGCTTTACCCAGGCTTGGTGCTGCTGCTCCTGCTGCTGGAGCTCCGTCTCGTCCACACACGGTCGGTCCAGGTTGAACCATAACGACTCTGTTATCCGCGGGAGCAACGACGGAAACAGCGTGGACATAGCTACACACAGACGATAACAAACACAAAACATGTAAAATACTCCAAGTAAAGGTGCTCATAAATGTTTAAACTATGGATTAAAACCAAACGTGGGTGAAGCTGCCACACAAACGCCTGAACTTATCTCAAGATGTGTTTTTTTTAGCTCTCCAAAAGATTTTCCATCCCTCAGCAAATTCTCAATCAAACTACAAAAGCACATTCAAACATTTAAACGAAAAAACAAGTAATAATTAGTCTGAATACTTTGTACCTTCAGTCGCTGCTGACAAAAGACTAACAATTCAAACTTAACCGGAAACAGCTTGCGTTCACGCATAAAGCGTCCCTTCGGAAGGTTCCGCCTTGAACAAGCTAAGGAAGGGTGTCTGAAAGTATAAACATATGAATATTTTATTATTTCTGCTTTCCATACAATAACTTAATATAGCTTTAACCACGGGAAGAGATTTCCACAAATTATTTATTTTTCTGTGAACATCTACTTCTGATTAATCTGAAATGTTTTCTCAAACTTTTCTAACAAGATGACAGTGAAATAGAATTGCTGGATGAAGTTAATGAACATTAATAATGAGCCAATAAAACAATAGCACAATGAAATCAGTTTAAAAAACCTCTACCATGTTGCTGTCATTGTTTTAATTTTATGACATCTTATTTTAAAATTGTGGCAATAATACAGTTTCAACCAACATTTCTATTTGATTTAATTTGATTCCTGGCAACCATACACAAATACAATCATTGTTGTAAACTAAGCAGACAGAGGTACAAAGAAAAACCTTTCAGTGATAAAAATGTATACAAAAGTTATAACTAAATGTGAAATTCAGCATCCAGAGAGAGTTGATACACGCTGTAATGTCAAAACCTAAAGATATGTTATTATTTACAATTTACGTGTATTTTATTTTTATTACACAATATTTGAAATGTATAAATGAAACTTCTGATTTACTCATACAAGTGTAGCTTTTCCAACAGCTGGCTTATCAGGTCCCCTTTATAATGCAGATGCTGTTGTGTGTTTATTGTTTTCACACAGTATGAAGCACTTTGGAGTCTCTGACTCTGAAAGGTGCTATACAAGTGCAGTTAAAATAAAGATATTGCATATATTTTTAGCTGTTTTTCAAATGTTCATTTTGTTTCTCTTTTATGTTATTGCATAATCATTAACATCTCAAATTAAACTCACTTCTGAACACGCCTGCCATTTCAGCTGAAACAGGACACAAAAAACAGGTGCAGCAGAAACGTGTGTGTGTGTGTGTGTGTGTGTGTGCGTGCGTGTGTTTGTGGGTGCGTGTGTGCAAGACCTTGAGATAAGACAAACTGTCCAGTAAGTAATAAAACACATGATCATATTTGTGTCATAACACACACACACATTCTCATCCCACCTCCAGCACACACACACACACACACACACACACACACACACACACGTGATGAAGTCTTTGTACTTTGGATACATATTAGTTAATGGTAGTGGAAGTGGAAGTTCCTCTTGAGCTGTGCTAGGGCCAACCTTGTGCTCGGTCTCATGCATCTCACGGATGAGTGTTGAGTCTTCAGAAGTGTGCCAGAGGTTGCTTGGAGAGTTACAGAAAGTTTCTTTACAACTGAATCATCAGAAAATATAAAAAAAGGTAAAGAGACCCAATTTATTGACTCTGCAAATTATTATCGATTTAGGAAATGTTTTCCAAGAGCTGAAGCATGATTGATTTAGATTGTTGTGGTTACTCTGATTTCTTTTACACTGAGAAGTTAACAGTTATTTGTCTGTTTTGACTAACTTTTCAGAATGTTGTGAACATTTATTAAACTAACAGTAAGTTTTATTTATTATTTGTGGCTGCTTACAGTTTAGGTGTTGGGTGGTTTCACCTGTTTTATGTTGAATTCATCATCTTTAGTTTGTTTTTTAAACACTTTGAGGAAAATCATCATCCACATTACATGGAAATGAATGAGAAATAGGCTGAAGGAAGTCCGACTTTCATTCATGCTTTGGCTGAATTAATTGTTTTGTCTAAATTTAAAGCTGCAGTCACAGGTGCTACACAAAAATAAGAGTTAAGTGGACTCAGTGTGCACGTCGTTATCTTAAACCAGCGAGTCATAGCTGTATTCACAATCACAGAACAAGGTTAAAAGGGCACGTCCCAAGTTTTGTAACTGCAAAAGTTTCATTACAAAATAAACATAAAATGGGATCACTACAGATTTATAAGTATTTTAAACAGTCACACATTTTATGTTTCCCAACTTTTCTCATGCTAACCACTGCTCCTCTATTTTATCAGCTTGTTACTTTAATCAGACACTAATGACCTAACTAATAACTAATCTTCTCTCAGCAGCGCTGCATGCCAGGCAAAAGAAACACTAATTTGATCAAATATCCAATGAGAAATCTGGAAAAGGGATTTTAATGCTGCTAATGTTGAGTTTTTTGTCTTTCTTTCAGCAATGATCCTTAGGAGGTCCATCAGAAGTCTGCAGCCTTTTTTATGTTGCAGAGCTCAGAGTAGGATCAGCTAGACTACAGGACCATACACGTGTTCATCTTAGAAACTGTTTTTGCTGCAGGCTTCAATCATTGAAATGTGATTTACAAAATTCTGGACCTCAGCTCACGTCTCGTAAAATGTTAAATTTCTCCACAAATTATAAACAAACAGGATAGCGCTTGTTACAGTTATTCAGTTACATCACAGACCAAAAGTGTCCTAAATGTATTTACTAGTTTTACTTTATGTGTTTCATCCTGTCCATGGATGGGTTATCCATTAGTCATACTCTCGGTTATAGTTGATGTTTAAACTGAATTTCTTTATAGGATTTTCATTAATCAAAATGCATGGCTGCATTCAAACAAAGTAAATCAATATTTATCAGGTCACAAGTACATCCTCTAACAATTAAAGCACATAAAACTGTGCGTCAGCTTCAATAATTACATATTATAAAATGCTTGATAGAATATAAAACATATTAAAGGTTACACTAGTTGTGTGACACCGATGCTTCATAATGACTCTTAGCTAAAATGCATTTTTCAAACCCTGAATGATGAAGCTCTTGTGCAGCAGCCGTTCAAACATTAATTCACCATTGAAGCTGTGGAATTTAATATGGTGTTTTTAAACAGCTCATCCACTGAAATGCTTGTTTCAGTACAATACCTGTTAAACAGCAGCTCTTCATACTACAGGGAACAAGAAATAGTGTCTGTTTTTGCTTGTTTGCAGAAAACTAATGCCCTTCTGAGCACTAAACTGGAGAAAACAACATTCAGAAACTTTATAGGGAAAATAAATCCATCTAACAGTCAAATTAAAGGTTAAAAGGCAGTAGTGAATGTTAGGTTTTGTGTTTTACAAATAATTAGTGCTGAACTTTCAGAGTCATGCTGCTGGTCCTGGCCTCTCTGCTAACCCTCACCAGTGGCACTCTCTCTTTGGACAAACTCAACATGTGCATGGATGGAAAGCACCAGAAAACAGCGCCAGGTCCTGAGGGACAGCTTTTCCTTCAGGTGATAAATTCTATTAAATGAAGACAAAAAGGCGTAAATGGGTGAAATATCTGAAATGTGCTCATATATGAGCTATAAGAATGACTGCAGGTTGAAATATAATTATAGATTATGACTTTTCCCTTCCAGTGCACTCCCTGGCGTGACAATGCATGTTGCACTGCAAACACCACAGAGGAGGCCCATGAAGACAACTCCTACCTGTACAACTTCAACTGGAACCACTGTGGTGCTATGAGTCCTTCTTGCAAGAGACATTTCATCCAGGACACCTGCTTTTATGAGTGTTCACCACATTTGGGACCCTGGATACAACCAGTGTGTATTTGTCAAATGCACCTTTGAGTGTGTGTGCGTGCGTGCGTGTGTGTGTGTGTGTGTGTGTGTGTGTGTGTGAGTGTGTGTGTGTGTGTGTGATATAGAAACACTAGATGGCAGCAGTGTGACTGAGTCAACAGATTCTAATTTTGTGAGATTTGTTCAGCCCATTTCAATACAACAGAAATGGCTTTTGAGACATACAACTTTTGTTTTAACCATCTGGAGGCAGGTGTTGCAGATTTGCAACGTTTAAACCTACCTACCGCATACTCCACATACGTATTTCATGAGCATTTTTTAACTCAGAAGTACCCCTGAAGGACTTAGTTGTTTGTCCTTTTGTCAAAACTTATTTTGAGCCTGAGAGGTTTAAAGCTGTTATGGCAAATTTGGAAAACAAAATAGCTCTCAACATTTTAATGCCTCTTAAGAACGTTCTAACATAGCATAGTTATAAATACATTGTGGAAATTAAAAAAAGAAAAAATAATAGAGTGGTTCTCTCGCATTTGTCTAAAAACCAACAACATATTTCGGACTGAAAGCAACATTTGGACCGTCTGGTTGTCGGTTGCCCCAATGCGCCGCACTTCCCTTGGCCCTCCATTCATTACACACTTGCATATTTTGCAACAGAACACCACTAGTGCAGGGGCGGCGTTAGGCCCAGCTACTTGGGCTGAAGCCCCGGATGTTTCATGAAAAGCCCCGGATCCAAAACGTGGAAGTAACATGCAGTACCAAAGTCCAACAGAGAGGGAGCAGCTGGCAGTAGTTTGTATACAGCCTGCCTGAGCCTCCACCACTGAAGAAGCCCTTCAGCAGCCGGCTTCTTATACAGTCTGCCTGAAACGCATGAGTGAAGATGGACATAAGGACGTTTTTTAGACCAAAAGTACAGCGACAGAACCCCAGCTTTGATGAGACTGGTGCTGACTCAGGTTTGTGAGTCTTATTTGAAAATATTTGTTGTGCTGCTGGTTTGCCTAAAGTTAGCTTATCAGGTAAAGTTGTTGGAGAAAGAAAGGGAATATTTACTATCATCTCACACTAAACACTAACAGGAACAATATTCTGCCCTGAAAATGCTTAATATGTGGCTTCAGATTAAAAGTTGTGTGGTACAGGACATATATGATGTTGACTAGTGCGCGCGCGTGTGTGTGTGTGTGTTAAGCCCCAGATCTTCTTCAGTTCTAAATCCGCCCCTGCACTAGTGTGAGAGGTTCAGTAATATCAGAGAAGGAAAAACACCCGGCTGCTACCACTTCAACTTTAGGGCAAACTACCAGAGTCCTAAACGGAAAAAAACACCATTTGAAGTCATGGACAACAAAAGACATTTAGACCTAGAAAACGGCGACTTGTGTTTAGCGTTCTCTAGTTTCCTCAGGCATCAAGGGTTTCTGGTTCCGTGTTCCCCCCTCGAGATCTGTTTCTTTTGCACCCAGCTGCAAGAGGAAATGACCCAATCACAAAAAATAACCCTCACCCTAACCACAACCACCCTGTCACAAAAAAATATGTTTTGCACAAATATAACTTTTCAAAATATAATGTGTAGCACAATTTTTATGTTTGTTTCAAGGTTATGGTCAGGGTAAGGGTTAGGGTAAGGGTAAGGGTTAGGACACACATTTTTTGCAAGTGGATGCTTCAAACTCGCAGCTGGAAGCAAAAGAAACAGATCTTGAGGAGGGAACACATATCAACGTAACACCGGCAGAAGCCGAAGAAACCTGAGGGGAGGGGTGAATGTTCGGCGGCTGCGCTTGCGTTCAAAACTTAGCTTGTTTGCAGATTTGCCATAACAGTTTTAAAGGTGGAATGATTACATAAACAAGACCTCTATCTACATGTTTTAGGCTGACGAGAGTTGGAGAAAGGAGCGGGTCTTGAACGTGCCCATTTGTAAGGACGAATGTGAACAGTGGTGGGAAGATTGCAAGGATGATTTCACCTGCAAGTCAAACTGGCACAAAGGATGGGACTGGAGCTCAAGTAAGGCACAGAGATGACGAGCAGAGAACTGTGAAATGTGAAATGAGTAGTTGCCCCCTCACAGGCAGTGGTGCTCACAACCCCTATAGAAAATTGTTGCCCCCCCCCCCCCCCCGAGTAGACCACCCCCTTAGTAAATCTGTTTCATGTTCACAAAAACTGGACATTCATGATGAAGCTAATGAATATGTTTATTTTCATGCAATTTTGATAACTTTTTTTTAATAAATTACAATATAAACAGTATATAAATCCCAATAGTTTCTGTGGATTTTTGTTAAAAACAGCAACAGTCAAATAAAACAGATTTAAAATCCTAAAACAATATAAATTGAAGGGATAACTAAAAAAACTGTCTTTTTCTACAATGCTTGTGTTTCTCGTATTTGAGGTGAATGCGTTGGATGCAAAGGCCCGTTGTCTTTTAGTGAAAAGGGTTAAGGGGACATTCAAGGCACAGCTACAGAAGAAACTACCACCCCAAATGTTTCATTCCACAAATAAAACATTTCTAGGAGTGTCATTACAGGTTTCTCCTGTTTTGCTTTATTTTGTCACACCTAAATGATTTTATAAGAATACATTTAAATATTTGACAACGATAACCCAAGTGAATAGAGAATGTACTGTTAATAGTATTTTCATTATTTAAAGGAAAAAGACTTCCAAACAAGCTGGGCCCTGATTGCAAACTATTTTCTTTAAGTTTGTGTTTCTTTTTGTCTCTTAGAAGTCAACAAGTGCCCCGAAGGCAGTAAATGCAGAAAGTGGACCGAAGTTTTCCCAACACCCAAATCCATGTGTGAAGAAATCTGGTCAAACTCCTACCTTTATACTACCCACCTCAAAGGCTCCGGTCGATGCATGCAGCTCTGGTTCTCAGGAAAGAACCCCAACAGGGAGGTTGCTGAGTACTACAACCAGGCTCAGCAGAGCCGAAGCTTTGCTGTGACAACCCTGCTCTTCCTGGCTGCCGTGGTTTTCTCTGCAACAAAATACTAAAATCAAATCTGACAATTGAAGTAAAGAGGTTTTAAAATCCCCTCTGTGTCTGTTGCTCCTCTTTCAAGACTCCTAGTTGCTATCATTGTTCCTCCTGTTCACACCGCGCCTCCTTATGCTCCCTTGGATGAATAATTTCATATTTTGATCCCAAATCACAAACACAATTGAGCAGATTGAGTCCACAGTTGTAAAACAGAGATGGCAATTGTTGCTTTCTGAAAATATAGCATATTTTTTACAATAATCTTCAAGACTGAAAAACATAAAGATCATCATATTTTGTTATGAAGAGGAAAAGTAAATCTGTAAAAATCTGCATGGATCAGAAAAATAAAACTAAAATAAACTCCAACATCTGGACAAACTATGTAGAAAAGTGCTAAACTTTTGCACGTCAGTGCTAATCTGGTTTGAGTTTTTTCTTAAGTGCAGACTGTGGATCAGTTTAATAACCCCTTTGTAGACTCAACTAGCAGTGGGGAAGCTGTAAAACTGACCTCAGTTCTGTTTGAGGAAAAATATTCCTCCATACAGGCTCAGTGATCACACCACCACCAGCTAGTGGTTAGTGGGCTCCAGCGCTCGGTAATTATCAGGTTCCAGTCCCCCTGACTGTGTGTGTGTGTGCGTGTGTGTGTGTGTGTGTGTGTGTGTGTGTGTGTGTGTTATATATTTGACAAAAAGGCAGAGAGAATGAAGTTGGAATCAACCCGTACTTTCAACTCTGACAATGTGTACACGTGTCTCTGTGGTGACTTGTTGCTTTTGCACCTGAGAGACTCTGAGACCTTTTGACCTTTTGATTGATTGTATGACTGGTTGAAGATAACTATCAATGGCCTCAGGTTGTAGGTTAGTTCTTATCAGACTGATAACAACTAGTCACAAGTGTGCCTGTTATAAACATTCCTTCTGTGTGTTTTCACCTGCTTGCCCGAGTCCGGGTCCCAGGGGTAGCATCCCCACCAGAAAGGCCCAAACCTTCTTTTCCCCAGTTAACTCTACCAGCTCCACTGGCAGAATCCCCAGGCAGTTCCTGGTCAACGTGGAAATTTAATCCCTACGTGTCCTGGGTCAGCCTGGGGGCCTCCTGCTGGCCGTACATGCCTGAAGCACCTTCTCTGGCGTCCTATCTCTAAGACCGAGCTGAAAGAGGAAACTCATTTTGGCATTAATAAACTGTCTTATAATAGTTTTTAAAAATTTAATTGCAGCATATGCAACCTTTATATTGTTATTACTGTTAGTTCTACAGAAAATAAACCAAAAAACAATTTCTCCTACTATCCCAATCTCATTTCGGCTGCAAATAACCACAGATTTCGCAGTCAACGTGTTATGTTTGTGATTGTGTCATTCCTCAAAGAGACAATGTGTAGTTTTTACCATTAATTTCTGGAAATATTCATCAAAATGTTGTTGAAAATGAGTGAAATGATGCCCAATTGTTGAAAAAGATTGGTGGCTTCTTAACATAATACCATCAAAATCTGGTCTAAAATACATGGGCGTGGGTCTAAGTCTCCGGACGACGCCTTATTAGATGACATGTTTCCTTATACGGGAGCCCATGAGGACAAAATGCATTTACTGATTTGTAACTGTAACCGGATTACAGGATACAATAAGATAATTAAAAGAAAAATAAACAAATGGGCCAATAATTAGGTTCGGGGAGAATTGGAGGTTGGTTAAGAATGACTGGAGTCACGGGTATAGCATGAAACGGTTTATATACTAAATTTTAATAATAATGGGAAATATAACACATAAAGATAACACACAAAAACAGATGAAAACAATCGACAATAGTAAAATGCTCGGTATGAGATTTGATCATATGAGTCACAAGTCAGCCGGCGTCAAGTCAAATCCCCACGCTTGGGGTGAAAGTCAGAGTCCGGTGGTGCGATTTTTTCCTACCGCACCGTTGAGATTGTTCACAGAAGAGAGCAGTCTGCTCTTCAGTTACTTGAGATGTCCTGGTTCGTTCAGTGGTTAAGGCTCGCCATCTCCCTCGTCAGGAAGAAATCCAGTTCTCGTTCCAAGTGAGTGATCATAGGAGTCGGGATCAAACCCAAGGAAAAAAAAAACCCAGCCTGTAAACAACAGGACTGTTAGCGAGTTGGCATCGACCCTTCTCGTCACATCACAGCATAAAGTCTTACAGACTTAAACAAATGCTTCACTCTATTGGCATAGCCAATCATGTTTGGGTTCACAGTTCAACTAACATAACATCAATTTGATTGTCTATTAAAATAATTCTCAGTAGCTCTGGAAATATAATTACATATGACAACAATTGTTCAGCTCAATAGGCTCAGTTAGATTCTATTACTCTACACTATTCAACAAGAAATACATTCATGACAACAAGGATACATTTAGTTGTGTTTCTATACAGCATTGTGACACCTTGTATATCTGTAACACAATAAATAAATAAATAAATAAATAAATAAATAAATAAAATGTTCTATAACAAAATTCAACAAAATATAAATTCTGGTCCTTTGGTCCACCTTTGTAAAATAATTCCTCCCTAATCAGTTAGCTTTTATTTATTTTTATTTATCTATTTTTTTTATTATTAAATGTTTGGTTAAGGGACGCATTGCTAATTCTATGGCGTTAGCTATAACGCCCCTGAGGACCTTGTACATCTAGGCCGTACCACCATTAACTGGCGGTTTGAGCCGTTAACTCCTGGGAATCCCATATGCCCTACCGCCGTTAACTGGCGGTTTGAGCCGTTAACTCCTATATGCCCTACCACCGTTAACTGGCGGTTTGAGATGTTAACTCCTGGGATCTAACGTCTAGCAGCCCACTGCTGTCACCTCGGTTGCTGTAATTAGCTTTTTGAATTTAATAATTTACTGAATTTAATCTCATTCACTCACCAACGCGCTCCAACGGTTCCCTCCTACAGAGGATTGGTTCACTCTGTCGTCTCCACACAAATCTATAAGAATGGAATTAATTTGATAAGCTATTTAAGTTTCCTTTTTTTTTTTTTAAGTTGCATCGTTAGCTTTTTCTCTTCTTTTTTCTTTACTCACCGCGTTGGTTCCAAGTTCCTAGCTCTTATTAGAAGGAGTCAAGTCCGCCTCTCCCTCTATCTATGCGGCACCCAAATCAGGGTTCTTCACGGCCTCGACCGTTGTTTTTTTTTTCTCTCTCTCTCTCTCTCTAACCGCTCAGTCTTTGCTTTCTGTATCTGCGTGCTGCACAGCCGTTTGTCTCTCCTCTCGCTCAGCTGCGTCGCACGGTTTTATTTCGCGGAGGCGGGACTTATTTCTCTCAGCCAATGAAATTTCAGATTCCCACCTGGACCAATAGTATACAGCTTTCCTCTTCTGTTTCTGTTAGTGATGTTCAAGATTCTTGTTTTAACCGATGTTTAATATTAAACTCGTTATTTTAGTTATTCACCCTTCCAATAATTCATTATGAAATTATCTATTAGTTAATTAGATATCTATTAATTAGTATTGTTAATTTCCTTAATTTATATTTTATATTTTATCTAAATTGAGGATGGATCATATTAGTAAGCCAATTAGTTAATACCTCATTAAGGTTCTAGCTTCTGGGTTACATAACCAATGGTTATAAAACTTTTGTCATTGTTAATTGTTTTTGTTTTACATATTTACCTCTTCTATTGTTGCCAGTGATGAAAGGGAGTCTGATGTGATTGTTATTTTGCTAAAGTTTGTACTCCCCAGGGCTTTTTGACCCTAATAGGCATCTGTTAGTAAGGTCTTACTCCAACAGAAATATACTGCTTGCTTGCAAAGATTTAGGTATCTACTGCCCCCTATCGCCAGAAAAAAACACACACTGTCACCTGAATAGCATTTGCATGAACAGCTGTGAAATTTCTGAGATTAGAGTTGTTTTACAAAGCACAATATAAAGCCAAGATACTAATTGTTGATGCCCTTTTCACAAAAAAGCACACTCCAAAAGTTCAGAGATATCCCTTTAAAGAGGTGGAAGGTGATACTTGTAAAATGTTTTGTTCTGCATTTTTTTGAAAACTGTGTTTGTTTATGCTGAATTTTAGTGAAAATATTCTGGGTAGTTGTGGGACTCGGTTAAAAAATGATCTAATTAATTAGATAAATTAGATTAAAATTCTTGACTAACCACATTTTAATCATTCAAGACCTTTTGCACCCAAGCAAGTTTTTAAAATCAAAAGTAATGTGTGACATACAGATGACATACCCACACTTTAATGAGTATATTTCTGTAACCACAAAGTCTATTTGATTATTTTGGACTCATTAATGGTAACATTGTGGGATTTGTTGGGATGTGCAAATATTAGAAAAACGTTGTATTTATTCACATTTAAAGAACCATATTTATGCAAAGAAAATCTGGAATGAGAAGTGATTTGTGTGTGTGTGCGCACGTGCGTGCGTGCGTGCGTGAGTGTGTGTGTGTGTGTGTGTGTGTGTGTGCACATGTATGCACAAGTGTGTGTGTGTGGTCTGGAAAAAATAGGATTGCATAACTAGATTACAGCCTGTGTTGAGAAATTGCTGCAGCGTGGCTATAGGTAATCAAAAAGGAAATCTCTCACTTGAAGACTTTGAAAGTTTAGGCGTCAACTTTATTTAGAAGGCATGTTAACAAAGCTGTACATGATAGAATACATTTCATAGGCAGGTGATTAGGTGTTGCGTCCTGGGATGTGGCAGACATATTGATGGCCTTACAAGTGTAAACAAACCATACAAAGAAAAGAAGTGTTGAACACGTTAAAATCCTAAAAAGGATGCAGAATGTACAGGGATATGTTAAATAAAGATGTTGGGAACTAGTTTGTGGACAAAATCAGCATCATAAACAGTAAGGATTCGAAAGACCCAAGACCGGAGCACCGACAACAACTTGTTGCTGCCGCAGCTCTGCATCACAGACATTTTGGCTGTCTTGCTTGTGGTGTGAGGGGATATAAACGTCCGGATGAGGGGTAAATGTTTCATTTGCTGGTTTTTCTTGTAAAACAATCAAAAT